ATATATTATCAATGTATCAATGAACGAGGAATGAAAAAACAAACGAAAAATCAAATTAAAAATAATTTGAAAAAAGTTAATAGGAAGATATTAAATTTAACTTGCTAATAGAGAATTGTCGATTGTTCAGTAAAACTATCGATAGGACATCTCGTAATTGAGATAGTAAAGATAAATAGGAATAGAGAGATAGAGTGAACATGTACAAATGATAGGTGAGAGAGAGAGAGAGAGAGAGAGAAAGAGAGAGAAAGAGAAAGAGAAAGAGACAAAGAGAGAGAGAGAGAGAGAGAGAGAGAGTATCGAACAAACCACCGACGAGCGGCTATCGAGAGCAATTCTCCTACGACACTTCGATACGACGATTGGAAGGCAAGCATCGCGAACTTCCTGTTACGTGGCTTTCAATTTGGTGAAACTTGTGCCGTTACGAGTAAAGAGCTTTCAACTATCTCACCCTTTTCGAATTTCACACTTTATACGAACGCTAAATATACCTATGAACGATTAAGGTCAACGCATTTTTATTTATCTTGTTTCTTTTTTTATTTCTTTTCTTTTTCTTTTTTTTTTATCTTCACTCTCATCTTCTCTCTTTTTTATTTTCTTTTTTTCCCCTTTCGTTTCGTTTCGTTTCTTTATTTATTTATCGGAAAACACTCGATATATATGAAATTGTAAGAAAATCATAGGGGAGGACAGAGATTTGAAGCTTCGGTCATCCCGCATCAATGGGATAAGTAAACGTGTAAGCATATATATATATATATATATATATATATATATATATGAGGGGGTAGGTAGGGTGGGATGGATGGGTGAGTGAGTGGGTGGGGAAGGAAGTGGGTGGTCTTGAGAGAAATATTCTGGGCTTCTACGGATGAGAGAAGAGCGTGAACTTTCTTGCCTCGGACGAGTTTAGCAAGAAATCAAGCTGGTAGACATTGACAAGGGTTGCCTTGGCTTTGCCGCTCACGGTCTCGAGTTCTAAACCTAGGTGGGGATGAAGGGGATGAAGGGGATGGGGAATAAGGGATGGGGGGGTGGTTTTCGTGTCGGAAGAGAAGAGAAGAGAAGCTGCAAGAAAGCAATGGAGGAATTGGAGAACGGCCGGGCCTACTCTACCCTATCCTACTTTACTCTACTCTACTCTACTCTACTCTAGTCTACTCTACTCTACCTTCGATCTCGTTCCTTCTCCCATAAGCGAAAGAGAAATCGTCTATCCTACGAAAAACGGGACGTTCCGCACCAAAGCTTTATTGCCTTCGAAGAGACTACCACCAACTTCGGATCGAACTTAACGTTGACTTGAATTTTATCAATTGCTATCTGACTTGATTTTATTCTCTCTTTCTCTTTCTCTCTCTCTCTCTCTCTCTTTCTTTTCATTTCTTTTTCTTTCCCTTAACGAAACGAACGAGAACAAAAGAGACCTAACTGAATCATTTTACAAACAATAATTTGACGTAACGTGGCATATCTTTTTTCTCATTTTGTTTCCCTTTTTCTTTCCTTTTTTTTTTTTTATATTTTTTTTCCTAAAGAATTCGTAAACGTGAATATACGATTGCAACGAAAAACGACGATGACGTATCGACCAAGAGGCAGAGCATCATAAATCGACCACTTCCGGCCCATAACGAAAAGTAATATCGAAGTTCGTCCCACCGTGTCGTCCTCTGGCACAACTTCCTTTCTCTCCCTTTTTCCTTTTTCTTTTTCTTCCCCTACATCCCCTCTTTTTTCGCGATGCCTTCCGTTCCCTCACGTTGGCCAACGATAAGCGATATATCGACGCGAAAATGGCGCTCGAGACGCCACAAATTTATTTACGTCGGCGTGTACCGAACCCTACCTCCCTCCGGCTCTATCCCATCCCACATCCCACCCCTCCCCATCTCCTTCATTTCCTCGCCTATCCTACTCCCACGCCAAATTCACTCCCATCACCCTTCGCATTCACCGCTTTTACGCTCGGTTACATTCCACGGGCACGTGAAAAATATGATAATAAATAATTTCGAATTTATAATACATTTGAATTTCTCAAATAATCGTAATTCAATATTTCAAATTAAACGTAATTATACGAATTATACGTGTTAATTAATAAAACAATTATTTATCGTAATCGTTTGATATCAATATTTTTATTCTTACGACAATTATATATGTGATATATTAGATACGATTAAAAAATTTTATTCGATCCTTTTAAATGAGAATGAAAGTTTTTCTATCTGAACGAGCGAAAGAGAAATATATATTTCTTTAAGATATATATATATATATATATATATATATATCTTAAACGGTAATAGACGATCGAAGTAGATATACACACAAGTAAATCCGATCTTCCGAATGGAGAAAAATAGAAATAAGAGAACCGATCTCGAAAGGACCAATAAAAGAAGCGCAACCGGAGAATCACGATACGTCACGTTCCTGCCACTCGAGAAATCTATGGACCAGGAGACAGGTAAAGTGTAAGATAGAGAAAAGAAGAGAAGAGAAAAAAGGGTGGACACTCGAGAAGAGCCGATATAGAACACAAATACAGATGTACATACGTACAGACAGATAGACATACATACATATATACGTACATACACGTACATGATGTCTCGTTCATTAAAAAAAAAAAAAAAAAAAAAAAAAAAGAAAGAAACAAACAAAAAAAGAAAACAAAAAAAGATAGGAATATCGTCTGACATTTTTTTACAATTTTCTTCTTTCTTTTTCTCATACGAAATTATTCGAACGTATCATAATGCAAATTTCTCTTGTTTTTTTCGCAAGTCTGTACGAGCTAGGAAGAAAGTGTTGGAATCAAAAAAAGATTTATTTATTTATTCTTTTTTTATTTTTTATTTTTTATTTTTTATATATATATATATATTTCTTTTCCTTTTCTTTTTAATGGAACCATATATTATTTTTCTTTTTCGCAATATAATATCTTGAGACGAATTCAACGACGACATTAAACGAACGATCGTAATTTATCATTATCGATCATTATAATCCTACCTTATCCTTTATCCACTTTTATATCTGTATTCAAAAGTTAAAAATCAAATCGAAAATGACGAATATTTGAAAGATCATTTTTTTTGTTTTTTTTAGCAACTCCCATCCAACCAAGAACGAACTAGGATCGATTTAAAAGCAACTTACTGTTAAATTACCTGTCGCTCCCGTTTAAATTACCTGTCGAAAGTTTCACCGAGCAATGTGTTGCATCGCCGTCGAAAGAGAAATCGTCAGAGGAATTTCTTCCCCCGCTTTGTAAGAAGAAAATATCTATCTTTTTCGAAGAAAATATCAAAAGCGTATTCGCATCCCTTTGATAACAAGAATTTCATGATGGAGATGCGCATGCATTACTTCGAAAAAAATTAATCTACATAATATTCGTAATCGTGAATCTTTTAAAATATATCGTTTCTAAAGAGAGAGAGATAGAAAGATAGAGAGAGAGAGAGAGAGAGAGAGAGAGAGAGAGAGAGAAGAAAAACCAAAGGAAAAAAAAGCAACATAAAAAAAGATGTAAGATTTCTCTACTAACGGTTGTTGTGTTTCTTTTTCTTTTCTTTTTCTTTTTTTTCTTCTTTTTTTTTTTTTTTGTTTTTTATACTTGAATCAGTCGTCGATCGATCGTGTTCGTACGATTTGCGAAACACCACAGCAGGACGTATTCCGAGGCTAATTTGACTGTCGTAATTAGCTTCGTTTATCGGACCACACTACGTTCGCTGTGTTCCACTCGTAGAGCAATAACTACAAGAGAGAGAGAGAGAGAGAGAGAGAGAGAGAGAGAGAGAGAGAGAGAGAGAGAGAGAGAGAGAGAGAGAGAGAGAGAGAGATGGAGAACAATCGTGGACGATTATCTTCGTACCTGCCACTGGTGCAAACAATTAACGTTGTTCTGGTAACTTTGCCATGATTACCATGATTTTCAAATGAAACTATACGGTCATTCACAAGATCTTAACCAATAATCATATACTGTATCTCCTTTCTAGTAATTAATCTAATAAATAATCTATAATCTTTGAAGAACATTAAATTGTATTATCAATAAATTATTGAAATTTGTAGATTTTAATATAACGCCCATCTCTATCCTTTTCTAATCGCAATGATCCTTTACAAATATAATTTTTTATATAATTATAATATCATTGCATTATTTTCTATTACGTTCTATTACATTATTATATATATATATATATATATATATATATATATATATATTTATAGAAGAATAGAAAAATTTATAGAAGAATAAATTGCATAGTTCTAAGAATAATAAAGATGACTCTATTCGATAAAATATCACGGTGGTTAAGAACGTTCTCGCTTTTACCGGCACGCGGCCGTCCGATTCGCGCTCACTCTCGACGCGTAAAGAGAGAGACCGGACATCGATCGTGTCAGGAGCCGCGAGAAAGATTTTCATTCGCGTACAGAACGCGTATGTACGTATATACAACATATGTATATAAATAGAGATACATACGTATAGGAATGAATTACATAGGAATAGTAAAAGAGCATGCTCGAGAAACGTTGAATCGAAATTGTGAGTACGCAGGATCAGATCTTGATGATTTTATCATGGATTGGCGCCGAAAATTATTGCAAAAAGGCATATAGAAAATAGAAAGAAGAAAGAAGAAGAAGAAGAAGAAAAAAAAGATATAATCAAGACGACTGCGATAATAATAATAATAATAACAATAACAACAACAACAATAACAACGACGACGACAAAGACGACGACGACGAAGACGATGACGATGACGACAAAAGGAAAAAAAACTAACAGAAATAGCGGAAGAAGGAATTAAATGAAAGGAAAGAAAGAAAGAAAGAAAGAAAGAAAAGGAATGGAAAAAGACGAAAAGAAAAATCAAAAGAAAATAAAAAGGAAAAGAGAAAAAAGAAAAGAAAAAAGAAAAAGAAATAAGAAAGATAGTAATAGGACTTACATTCTTTGCTTTTCTCAGCAACGACGGAGGGCGCGAGTATAGTAAGCAGGATAACCAGAAGTACGAATGAAATCTGGTTGATAATATTATTGGCGAGTCCTCCAGGAAGAGGCGTCGTCCTCTTGATACGCCGCGTGGGTCCGCGAGCGCGGGGCGGACCCCGCGACATCGCGGACATGTCGTTCTCTTCTGCACGATGTCTCCTCCACTTTTCCCTCCGTATAATAATTCTACGTTAATTTTCTTAGATCTATGTTCCTTAATATGAAAGAAGACTGGAACACTTTATGTCTTCTTTGCCGGCACTCCCGGTAGCACAAGGATACACGTTGGTAGTATTACTACGATTACTATTACTATTACTACTACTGTGATGTTGAGTACTCTTTGGGTAAAAGGTAGACATAACCTCGAGAGAGATAGATAAAGAGAAAGAGAGAGAGAGAGAGAGAAAGACAGAGAAAGAGAGAGAGAGGAAGAGAGAAAGGGGGAGAGAGAGAGAGAGAGAGAGAGACAGAAAGTCACTCGGTGAACGAACCGATCACGACGATAACGAAATGGAGGAAAAGATGAGAGGATGAATAGGAGGACACGATTAAGTTATTCCTCTCACACGATTTCTACACTTCTCAAACGGATCTGGAGTAGCCGAGTTACTCTCATGGAACGCAGCGCGAGAGTCCGCGCGCGTTTCTCACGCTACGAACCGGAGCAGGTCGCAAAGGGAACGACGATGCTGCCGGTGGTGGAGGTGGTGGTGGTGGTGGTGGTGGTGGTGGTGGTGGTGGTGGTGGTGGTGGTGGTGGTGGTGGTGGTGGTGGTGGTGGCGACGGCGGTAGTGGTGGTTGGTGGTAATGGTGGTGGCACGACTGAAGGCGCCGGTGCTGCTCTGATATTTCTACTACTAACAGTCCTGCTTCCGCGGGGTTGAACGCGCAAGGGATGAACGGATACGTGTACGGACACACGTATATCTACCTCTCTATCCCTCCTCCTCCTCCCCTCTCTCTCTCTCTCTCTCTCTCTCTCTCTCTCTCTTTCTCTTTACCTCTCTCTCTCTATCGAGAAATTCACTATTGTCGATCTACTCGCTTCGTACTCGATGACCGTCACAGACAAACACAACGACTACGACACCAACGACTACTATGTGGTTGGTCTTCTTCGCGCACTCTCGTGTTCCATATCGATCCGTTAGCTGGAAAACGCTCTCACCCCCTTTTCCACCCTCTTCCTACGCCTACATCATACCACCCCTCTTCCCTCATTCTCTCTCTCTCTCTCTCCCTCTCTCTCTCTCTATTTTCTATACATATGTATATACATATATATATATATATATATATATCATGCGTCTGCGCAAGGAATGTGGACGACATCTTTTTTTTATTTTTGAATATTCCCGCGATATTTCATCGAAAAGATTGAAAGCTTCTTTATAATTTCTGAATTACAATAGGATAGGATCTTGAAAAAGCTGAAGGATTTTTTATCGTATCTTTCTTCTCTCCCCTCTCTCTCTCTCTCTCTCTTTTTCTTTTTTTTTTTGCAAACAAGGAAACCTTTTTATCCGGTATCTTTACGTAACATTCCATGGTCATTGCGAAACGAAACACTCTGCGGTTTCTCTGAAGTAAACGAGTTTAATAGCTGGTCTTATCGTAACTGACGTAATCTCTCGATAAACCAAGGTCAAGTAACGAGATGTCTCTTTGATCTAAATCCTGGTCCAAGGGAAAAAGAAAAAAAAAAAAAAAGAAAAAAAAGAAGAAATAGAAGAAGAAGAAGAAGAAGAAAATGAAACGATCCGAGTTATTCCAAGTATCTTTAAATTAATTTTTATCTAAATTATTATATATCTTCGGATGATCTCTTATGAATTGAAAACACTTGAAAATTTTACGAAAACGCTTAGGTCGAAAAAAAAAAGAATTTCATGTACATAGACATGAGCCTGCTAGGTTGATGGAAAAAAAAAAAAAAGAAAAAAAAAATAATATAGGCTACGCCGCGGAGATATGAATTTTAAATTTAATCCCCCCATTCTCTTTCTCTCTCTCTCTCTCTTTCTTTCTCTCTCTTCTTGTTGAAACTCTCAAGAATGAATGAGGAGCGAAAAAGATAGAAATAAAGAGAAAGAAAAAGATAGAGAGAGAGAGAGAGAGGGAGAGGGAGAAAAAATAGAAGGAGATTAGAAACATCGTATATAGATCGTCTAGCATTCGAATGCATTCGAATATACACGAAAACACATTCGTAACACCTGCACTCGACGTATACGAGTGTCGTCGACGCAATCAAGCAACACGGCAACGATGATAACGTTATCATCGATTCGTTGCACATTTTTTATCAGTGATCAAGGCCGTTCTACGTCATATTCATGAATATTCCTATTAAGAGGGTTCCTAAAATTCGTCCCCTTGATCCGTATGCGTTAGAACCGAAACTGCTGACCTTTGACCGAAAAAATCTCTCGGAAAAAATGAAAATCAGCATGTAGTCTCGAATACCCGACAGAATCCATGTTCTGGATAGACGGTGGTGAATCGTACCCCTAGACCACAGGCTGACTATTAGAAAAACAGCAAAATCCGATACAACTATTATAACGTTTATCAAACGACTCGCGGAAATCCGCTTGATGGCGCTCTAGAGGCTAATCTTGTATTTCCCGCCACAATCGTTTATCTGTAATAATCGAATACGGATTAACAAAGAGGATCATTGAATTAATTTCATTATAATTAATTAACATACTTACTAACGATTCAAAGTACACAGATCACATTCTTACTTTCCATACATTTTTATTTAGGTGGAATATCAATTAGAAACACTGGCGCACGTTTATCATCGTCACTTGCTGACAAATTTAGGCGATAGAAAATGTTTTTGTTGATTTACATTAAAAAAAAAAAAGAAAAATCGATTACAAAACAACAACAAAATATATATATATTATATATATATACACCATCCTAATTCGATCATATATAATATCAAATATATAAACAAAAATGATATATCTTTCAGATTAGATATTAAATTAAATTTATATAATATAAATTTATATATCTCGTCGTACATTGAAATCCTTGAATACGATTCCCCAAATTCATTGTCATGTTGGACATAAATTCACATATTAGCGAATATCGTAATGTAACGATTGCGAGTAGTTAATTATTTCGATGAATTAAAGATCGATCGAACATACGTGACGCAATTGAAAGAACAACAAACAGCAAAAAGTATCGTATTACGAAAGCATTACGAGAGCCTGATTAAAATGAAAAAAGAGAAGGAAACAAAAAAGGAAAAAAAAAAAAGAGAATAAATGCTTGCGAAAATAAAATGCAGTAAAGAATTGAGGAACTAAGGCGAAAAAAAAAAAAGAAAAAAGAAAAATGGAAAGAAAAGAGATAGACAGAAAGAAAGAGAGAGAGAGAGAGAGAGAGAGAGAGAGAGAGAGAGAGAGAGAAGAAAAGAAATGCGTGTTAACGTGAAAATAAGTATATCGGTAGGTATTAGTCTGGGAGTGATCACGTGACGATTCATATCGACAATCAAGTCGAGTCTGAATCATGAGGGATCTTTTTACGACGAACGAAGAACGAACGATATGTGAAGTTAGTAGAGTAGTTAGAGTAGGCGGACCAAGTTACGATAGCTTAGGTCTTTGCTAATCGTTCCTCGATAAAATTAGTCTTTGTCGGTTTAAACGGAAATTTCGCGACGGTACGTGTAAGAAGAGAGATAACGAGGCTCCCTCGGACATGCCGAGTGAATAAATCGTTTCCTCTCTCTCTCTCTTTCTCTCTTTCTCTTTCTATCTCTATCTCTCTCTTTCTATCTCTTCCTCTTTCTCTCTATCTCTATCTATCTATCTCTCTTTCTCTTACTTGTTTAAACAGCCTTAAACGGAAGATCGTTCGTGCTAGGAGGAGAAGGAGGAGGAGGAGGAGGAAGAGGAGGAGGTCAAAGTTCAACCTTCGTATAAGCTAACGTACGTATATATTGTACTTATGTACGATTTTAATTTTTAAATTCCTTTTTAAATACTCTCCATACTTTCTAATCGATAATCTAAATCGATCCTCCGTTATCGCGCGGATCCGATCGATAAACAAATCGAGGAAAAAACACTTTCGAAACAATACAGACGTCGTTGATTGATCGATTAGAACGTATATGTTAAACGATATAAAAATGAAGCGTTCGAAGCGTCCGGAAATAAATAAGACGAACGACGTAGCGACTATTTAAAATAGATCTACCAAATATAATATCGTGTCTTTCTCTTGACAAAAGGATAAAAGTGAAAGAGAACGAGAAGGGAGGTAAAACGGAGCGAGGGGGTGAGAGAGAAGAGAGAAAAAAAAAGGGAGAAGCAGCAAGCAGAAGTTGATACATCGTTGCTAACCCAACCACTTACAACATGCTAGATTATAGAATATACATATATATATATATATATACATACACATACACACACACATATATATATATATTGCATATATCAGATATACAGCGAGAGAGGATATTGTTTGCTCTCATTGACTTCGAACGTAGCGAGAGGCTGCTACTGCGAAATAAATACCGTGTCTGCCAAACGTGGAGGATCTAGTCGATCCGGCTTTGAGTCAGCGAGATTTATCACTCGGTATGTGATAAGGGGGAAGAGGGGGAGGGCACAGGGAGGAAAGAGGAGACATGGGGAAGGGAGGGACAGAGGGAACGGGTCATAGAGTTTATCGCTAAGGCAGACAATCATGTGTCTCGAATGCAACACAAGAGAAAACTATAGAAATTGATATATATATATATATATATATATATATATATATATATATAATACGCAATGGACTTTGTTATTGTTATTGTTTTCGAGGTCTTCGTTGGAATAACAACAAATGCTTGATTGTTATTGGATCAATATTAATTGTATTTTCCAACTGATCTTATCCTAAAGAAAATAATTATTTTGGTGATTGGAAAAGAAAAGAGTAAAGAGGGGAAAGAAGGAAGGAAAAAGGAGAGAGAGAAAGAGAGAGAGAGAGAAAAAAAGAAAAAGGAAAAAGTAAAGAGAGATACTTTACAGAATCGTACAGTATTTAAAAGTACTTCGAAAGTATCGTTCTTCTGTCTTCTTGCGTGTGTCTTTCTCTTTCACTTTTGAATGAATCTTCGGTGTATCCCTTCTTTTTCTTCTTCGTTTTCTCTCTTTTCTTTTTTTGTTTTTTCTTTGATTCTTTACTTGCTTTTTTATTTTTTGTCTTCTTCTTCTCTTCTTTCAATTTAAGAAGTTCGAGAGTTCGTTGATCGACGGTGAACTTATAAATCAACGGCCAGCTGGTTAGCTTGATCCGGAATATTTCAAAGGTAGGAAAGAGAGGAGAGAGAGTGAGAGAGAGAGAGAGAGATCGGATTTCTAAACGGGAAGCAACGAGGGAGAGAATCGGTGGGTTAATGAAATTAGCATCACTATGACGACAAGCAATGGTCGTGTATAATAAAAGTGGCTAACGCTTTGCCAGTTTGACGACGATGACGATGACGACAAGATCGACGACGCGTTTAGCTTCGAAGTGTCGATATAAACGATATAAATGAAAGAAAAAAAAGAAATGGACAAACAAATAAATAAATAAACGAACAAACAAATAAATAAATAAACGAACGAACGAACGAACGAACGAATGAACGAATGAATAAAACGAACGATAAAATATTTTTCTAAAAAAGTAAAAAAAAAAAAAAAAGTCAAAAATGAACGTCGATCGTGTTAAATGTTTAAGCGAATATACGAGCGTACGTAAATACGATTGAGAAAAATCAAGCGTTTCTTGGTGACATTTAGAGAGGGTTGTTAAAAAGAAAAAAGAAAAAAAAAACAAAGAAAAAAACAAAAGAAGACAAAAATGGCTTTGCCAACATAGCCGTACGATTTTTCTTTAAGACTCACGACTGTTCGATGTCGCCGCAGAAGCGGTACAAGTGTTTTAAATCCGCTCGCATTGACCAAGCCAACTTTCCACGTATCCAGTTTGACCGTTTTAACGTTTTCGTCGCGAAACATCTTACCGTTCTTCCCGTTCTTCGAAACTTTTAATAAAAAGTGTGTGTCTGCGTTACGTCAAATGACGTTTATATTAACTTTCAACAAAATCACTTGGTATCTTCTTCTCCTCGTTTACGCGTAGTGTCGGTTCCGATAAAACTCTCGTTGAAGAAATTAGGTACACAAATACATACATAATGAGTACGATTAAAAATGATTTAATCTTAATAAATTAATTTAATCAATGTTAATAACCTTAATTCCGATCAAAAAAAAAAAAGGAAAAAAAAGGGGGAAAAAAGGGGGAGAAAAGAGAGAAATAGAATATATTAAAATATATTTAAAATTAATGCAACAGCGGAACTAAGAAAAGATAGTGATCAAGAAGATAGTGATTAATAATCAATCTATAAATTGTTTTAACAGTTTGCGATCGGCATCATCGTTAATGATGTTCTATCTAAATGGAAGATTAACTGGTGGTGGAACTGCTAGGATCGATCGATCACTATCAAACGAGGAAGATGAATTTGGTTGGTTCGTTGGTGACGTTGAATATAATTCTTCCATGGCAATAAATGTGAGTAAAGATTGTCGTTCCTCGAACTCGTCAACTTCTATGTTATCCTGTATTGATTCTGACGAGGCCGACGCTTACACCTTCGCATCTGATTATTCGAAAAATTCTGAAGAGGATGAAACCTCTGAAAAAATAGAACTCTCCAATTTAACTCGTCCTAAGGAATTGGGCATCGATTTTATTGAAAACGATGCTCGCATTAATAATCCGGTTCGTTTCGAAACCTTAATAGTTTTAATTATAATCGTTAAATAATTTGCTTTTGGAAAAATCGTTTTTCTCTTTTTTCTCATAGGGTATAACAACAACAAGAACGACGATGATGATGACAACGATGACGACGACGACGACGATGACGATGACGACGACGACGACGACGACGACGACAGCAGCAGCAACTGCAGCAACGACAGCAGGAACACCAGGAGCAGCAATGACAACAACAATAAACCCAACAAAGGATAATGATTTCCACGATGAATTAGCAGGCGGTGAACCGATAATTCAACAATCACGAGCCATGTGTTATACTCCAGAAAGATTGGTGAGATGCGAGGAATATCGGATTTTAATTCCGTCCCCGCGATTTCTCTCGATATCTCGGTTCACTTCTGAAAATGAAAATGCACGTAAAACAAGGCTAACCAAAAGACGATTGAATTATCTCATCGATTCGAAACAAATTGGTACTTATCCGTTCTTCGTTATCATTTACATTAAAAAAAAAAAAAAAAGAAGCACTTCCTTCTTCGGTAGTTGAAAATCTACAAAACAAAAAAAGAAAAAAGAAAAAAAAATAAAAAAAGATAGAAAAGAAACGGGAAGGGGAGAGGAGAAAAGGGAGAGAAAGAGAAAGAAGAGAAAAAAAAACTATTATTAAAAAGATATACGAAATTCTCATTAGAGGAATTAATTTTAAATATATAAAAAGATAGAAAAAAGAAAAAATATATATATATATAATTCGTTCTTCAGGACGAAGAGATAAACGTATAAACTAGGACGCGCGATTTCTGAACGTGACTCTTGACCCCAATAAAACTTCAACCATTTTACCGATACTCGGCGTAGACTCTCTCTCTCTTTCTCTTTCTCTCCCCCCCTCTTTCTCTTCCTCTTTCTCTCTGACACACGTTGAAATCTATTTTTATCTCTCACGAATGACTCTTCGAATAAAACGATACATCCTGACATTGGTTTTATGTCAGATTTAATCAACCATCTATATTGTTTTCTCTTTATACGAAAAAAAAAATAAAAAAAAAAAAAAAGAAAAAAAAATATATATATATAAAAAGATATGTACCTATAATTATGGGAAGCGTTCTAAAGTCAATTCAAACTTTATAAAATAATACTTTCGTTTGAGATTGATAAAATTTCACAATTCATAAAAGAAATTTTTCATTAATTTAAGATTAATAAAATTTGAAATTGAAATGTTATATAATATAAAAATATTTTTTAATTTTTTCAAATGTAATCCTATAAATATCTCGAAACAAGAATTATATGACTTAGACCGCTTTCATTATTATAGTCACATATATATATATATTTATATATATATATAAAGAAGAAAAAAAAAGGATACATCCTTTTTAATAAATTATTTATACATAAATCTATCTTCTTATATAAACGATTGAATTTGACAAAAGATCTTTTTAACAAAAATGAATTTTATTATTTTAGGTGATTCACGTTTAAGAGCTCTACTCGAGTCATTCGAGGATAATGAAGAAATTCAAATAAATATGAGGAATAAATCTAACGTCGACGTTAATACGACGGACATCCTTCGGGATGACGCCGTGCTCAAGAGGATGCAATCGACCGAAGCTTCGAAATGTTCGATAACGGATACGATCAATAGTAATAGATCGAGTTACGAAGGGCTAAGTGTTACCTGGGACGATTTAAAGAAACAACAACCAACGCGTCGATCATCTGTCGAAGATACTTCTGGTATTCAAAGTAACGATTGGAGTTCCGAAACACAAAGTGAGACACAAATGAATCCACTTTATCTCTGTGACGAACTCGCTCTGACATCCAGCGGTGATTGTGCCAGTGACTTTGTCCAGGTACGTCCTCTATTTTTATCGAGAATGATACGATCCTCTGGAAAAAGAAGAAAAATATAAATAAATAAAAAGAAGTACGTAGAGAAAAGAAAGAAACAAATAATAATAATAATAATGATGATGATAATAATACTAAAAATAATAAATAATAATAGTAATAATAATTTCGTGACTATTTCGAAAAATCGATATTAATATATTAAATAAATTTAAATGTGTGTGAAAATAATTATTGTTCTTTGTTTTTTTTTTTTTTTTTTTTTTTTTTTTTTTTTTTTTTTTTTTTTTTTTTTTTTTTTTTTTTTGTTACTTATCTCTTTCCGTAGGTACGATCTACAGCGATAAACGAAGTTGTATCGATCCTGCAGGAACTCGAAAGTAATCCAGAAAGGGCTCGGATCCTTTTGGACGACGATCGTTTCTGCGACAAAAGCTCTTCTCACGATCATTTAACAAGATTGGCACTTACCATCGAGACCGATGGAAATGTACCACCTGTACTTGGAGAACCAGAGAAATCTGTCCATTATCTTCGAAAACGTGTCGAGAAACTTCAGGATGCGAGTAAGGATATCTTCAAGGATATTTGTGAACTTAGAAAGGACTTTGAGGTATGATAATCGTAATTATCCTTTCTGTTTTTCTTTCTTTCTTTCTTTCTTTCTTTCTTTCTTTCTTCTTTCATTTTTTTCTTTCATTCATTCATTCTTTTAATCAATGATCCTTTGATATTCTCATTACTTAGTACGAGGAAGAGAAGTTGCTTGATTTATCGTCGGACGCAACGAAATTGAGACAGGATATACACGAGGTCAAATGCATCGACGATCTATTAAGGCTTTTACGTGGTGAACTTGAAAGGATATCGAACAGGAATTGGCCATTTTTACTCGGTCATACTGAACAACAAGAGGAAATGAATTTAGTCGTTTAAATTTTCCCTTCGAAAGAATTTCCTCGATTAATATCGATTATATTAAGAGAAAACTTTTCGAAAAGGGATCACTGCCACATACAATCGTTTAGTATATTTCTTTTTCTTTTTCAGAAAAGAAAAGAAAAGAAAAAAAAAAATAAAAAGAAAGGAAAAAAAAAAGAAAAAAAATACAAAGGATTCACAAATACATCTATAACCTTGGATATAATTTGTTAGTTCATTCAATTCATTCATTCGATGTTATCTTTTTTAAAAAGAATTTTTATACAATCATCATAAAATTGATATACTGAATAATACAATCTGGTCAAAATGAAATTCACTTTTTATGTTATATATATATATATATATATATATATATGTATATATATATATGTATATATACGATAGATATATATATATATATATATCGTTTTTCGAAGCATTCTATTTTACTTGACTGCTTGTGTATGTACGTTTATATAATAAAATGGTAACATTATGATCCATGTTGTGTTTTATCTTGCTGTTTGTTCTTTTTTTTTTGTTTGTATCACTTTGTACAATATTTATGTACAACGTGTATAAAAGAAATGATATAGCCGTAGATTCCAACTATCAGGCTCCCATATACATACATATATATATATATATATATATAATATATATATATATATGTATATATGTATATATATATAAATATATATATATATATATATGTAATATATCAAATATAATTGTTTATATATATATATGTATAATGAATAAAATCATAAATCTAATTTTTTCTATCGTACGACAAATCTGCACAGAGTAAATAGTTATATCCTATATCCCATTAAAAAGAAAATCAAAGAAAAAGATTGAAAAAAAAATAAAAAATAAAAAAAAATTGCCTCTTTTACCAGATACACAATTACGAGAGAAGCATAATTAATTAATCAATTAATGAATTCTTAGATCTTGTAAAAAAAAAAAAAAAAGAAAAAAAAAAGAAAAAAAAAAGAAAAAAAAAAAGAAAAAAAAACAGAAAGAAATAGAAAAAGAAAAAATATCAACTAAATTTGCAAATATTACGATAAATATAAAAAAAGCACTTTTCCCACCTAGTTTTGCAAAAAAGAGAGAAAGAGAAAAAAAAAGAGAGAGAGAGAGAGAGAAAAAAAGAGAGAGAAAGAGAGAGAGAGAGGAAAAGATTATTAATTAATTGCGTCAATAAAAATTAAAAAAATGAAAAAAGAAAAGAGAGAAGAATATGATATATCAAATAAAGTTAAATCGATAATAAAATAATGCTCGAAAAAGTAATAAAATTATATATAGGTTAAAACGCAAGTGTGTCCCTTAAACGCTAAAACCTAAAAATTAGGTAACGTCGGTGCGTTGCAAATGTCTAGCATGTTGTCTCGTAGGATCATGATATGCTCGTAACATTTCACCATGTCGGAAAACATCATGAGGAGATGAAAGAGAGGGCAGTGAAGGCAAAGACGGTAGTAAACAGCCCAGCATACTGGCACTAGTATCTGACGTATAAATCCCATTGTTGGCTGGTCCCATGGAAACACCGCAGGAAGTAGCCGAAACCGTAGATAAGGAATGTGCATTTTGTTCAGCCGATCCTAATACACTTGAACCCGGTCCCATGAGATTGCCTAGATTTGTTTGGGAAAAAAAAAAAGAAAAAAAAAAAAGAAGAAAAGGAAGAAAAGAAAAGAAAAAAATATTTGTCGTATCGTTTTCCCTTTTTTCTCCCCACCCACTCCCGCCGCTCTTAAATTTTTTTCGTCTTACTTTCAAATCGATCGTCAATACGATGAATGATCTCGTTGTAAATAATCTCTCAACTGGGATAAATACATTATATACTCGACGTACCGGAGCTCACCGTAGAAGGTACAGATAATGGTGTCATCGTTGGGAAGTCCGAGTGTTCATTAGCTCTTGGATGATGAGAATCCGTTCTTGGTGCGTGTGGTGTACGAATGCATGGCAATGATGGTCTAAAATAATTTCCACCTCTGTCGTTCCTTCGATGTCTCACGTGTAGGCCAGCTTTGCTACCATTTCCAAGTCCAAAATGAAGAAGTTCCAAATGTCTTCTCAAGTTCCTCGATTGACGTAACATCGCACCACATAATGGACAAGATATCGGTTGATCCGACATGTTCCGTGTTTTGGATTGTCCATCTCCTAAAATTAATTCCATGAAGAGTGTATCTTATATACATAGAAATATCATAATACAAATGATATTACCTATTTCTTATACATAAGGTATATATATATCCAACGATATATATACATATATATATATATATATATATATATATATATATAGAGAGAGAGAGAGAGAGAGCGAGAGAGAGAGAGAGAGAAAGAGAGAGAGAGAGAGTGAGAGAGAGAGATATAAGAATAAAGCAGTGCGACCCATACACACGTGCGCGCGCGCACGCACACACACACACACAATTTTTTTTGCTGTTATTAAAATATCTTGTATTATGTAAATTCATATATATATATATAGCCTTTGACTAAATTCTAAAATAAATGTCATCGGTACAACTTAATAATACCAAAACGAATTGCAAGGATGTGCATTGTGCATTAATACATTTGCACAGCGCAATATTATTAATTACAAAATACATAACGTAACACATTCTCCTTTCGTAATATCTATATTGTTATTAAAAAATGATATCACATATATGTTCTTTATTTACAAACGCAGGAAAAATTAACTATACGATGTGTTACCGCTTATAATAATTTATAGAGTATATGTATAAGAAAATCTCTATCTATATTAGGACCCTTCAATAGTCTCTGCATACAATTCCTGTAATTATAAAACGCTAAGGAATGTGCAAATTTTTTCAATGATGTTAAACTTCTTACTTATGATATGACTATTGATGGATCAAGATTCTTATTATACGATTGAATTCTTCTCTCTTCTGTATGATATTAACATTAAAATATTTATTTATAAAAGGAAAGTATTTTGATAAATGAATTATGATATGAAATGAATATGAGAAAATAATTGAATAACTTTATACAAAAAGGAAATATACATATATGTATGTATGTATGTATGTATGTATGTATGTATGTATGCATATATATATACATATATATATATATACATATATATATATATATATATATATATATACATTTACATATATATATATATATTTATATGCAAGTTTTGTGAAAATGAATTATGTATTTTTAAGATGTTAAAAATTCGGAGCACATTTTACTATACATACCCCATCCCTTGCACTATGACTACAAATTTTACCGACTGCTACTCCCATTAACCCTAGGATACTGCTCTTACTTACTATCGTGGAAGATTCTATATGAGATGAAATGAATTATAAATATCTCAGGCCGCGCATAACATAATTTAGGTTTATCCAAAGGAACATATAACTGAAAAGAAGAAATGAATACGAGAAATATATATATAAACATAACATAAACATTATAATAATCTCTTGTCATTGGATGATTTAAAGAAATCGCAATGTATTATTAATTATATTATTATAAAGTTGTATAAAATATAAAACTTATATTGAATAAGTACGTGAACGAGCTGCTAAATAAATGAGAAAATCAAGACTTCGTCGGCTTATTAGGTGGGAAAAAAATTAATCGAAACGCGTGATGTTCTTTCAAATGAAGCAGTTAGTTGAACTGATTCGAGCAATAACACCACTAGTGCTAAGTCCTGTCTTTCAACTTTTTCCGATATTTTCATCTGGCTATAGTTGGCGATGGTGCGTTGCTGCGGGGAGAGACAACATTTGATTCGCGCGAGACGGGCGAAGGAAGTGGACTGGGTTTACAAATTATTCGTTCACTATTTCCACTGTCAGTCCCATGATTGGCTGATTGCTCACTGTATTCCGTTACCTCGACTTCTGGTTTAACTTCAATCATCATTGAATCGGACAATGAACCTTGTAAGGGATGACTACTAAATCGACACTTGCAAGACGATAAAAGATGCCTGCGCAAATTTCTTGCTTGACGTAACGTAGCACCACAAAGTGGACAAATGCCTGGACAATCTGAAGCACCACGAACTTTTAAACTTCCTGATAGAGCACACGTAGGTGTTCCAGCTGCCGATCCCTGCGTGAGTGGGAGCGGTACTCCTTGTGGGTAGCCCATATTCATTGAACCAGGAAACTGAGGTATATGCAGTGGTGAATATGGTTGTATCGGCGTCAGTGTCTGTAAGTGTTGTTCACTATCTGACGTATGTTCCTGATGAGCTCCTGCTTGAGAATTTTCTGTAGTTACTGGTTTTGCCTCTTTGGAAGGAGGTGAATGGCTACCCTGATGATTCGTATATCCCAACTGATCGCTTGCTGCTAACAGACACAAACACAATGTTACCATGCAGGGCTGAACTGACCTTCGTATCTGAAATTTCTGTCTTAGATATTATAACATATGGCATTACCAATTAAAAATGCAGTTCAACCCAACCGATGGTTGTGCTTGTGTCCGTATTAATAAAAAGGATAACCTAAAGAGATTTCATACATCTCACAGATAATGCTAGATAAATTAATATATCGGACACAAAACACAAATTAATTATTTTGCTGTTGCTATTGGAATATCTTCACCCGCATAATAAAAACGTTAAGGCTAGGAAATTTTAATGGATTTAATATGAGAATGTATTGACTTCTCCATTTTCAACTTAATTTTCCGTAGTAACAAATTTATAACTAACTGTACAATTTTTTATGATATCATATTTCAATTATTTAGTGCAACAAATAAAGCGACTGGTACAGGCACAAGAAATTTTATCTCACCTGTGTCATCACCATGATGAGCATCGATATCCTTTGGATCATAATCTGTTGTTCCATGATCATCTGCGTGTGTATTTAAATGCCTGTTTTCACTGTCATTAGTCATGTTTCCGCGTGCCCACTTTCCTGAAGATGAGGAGGACTTTCTTCTCTTTTTCCTCCTCTTTAAAGGGAAGTAAGAACTAAGAGTTTCTCTTGATAATCCTTCATTAGCCGCAGGTATTGCAGATGGAGGTACTTCTTCGCCGCTCTAATACATATAATTAATTTCATTTTAATTCTAATTTTATGAGATATCAAGGATTAAACATCTATCTATAAAAAATATTTCAAATCACATGAAGTATAAAGTAATACATATGTAGGAACCTACTTCTGTTAATATTGTTGGGGGTGTTAAACCATGAATACACAAACAATGAGCAGCTTGAAGAAGAGATGGTAATTGAGATGGTTCAACGCTGACTTCACCTCGATAAACAAACTCCAATAATGATTCTAAATCATCTGCTCCGATACCTGCTAGCATAACTACTGGATGTTGGCAAGGTGTACTCTGTATCAAAAAGAAATTACATTATTAGTTACAAATATAAAATTCAAATCCTTGATTAGATGTCCAATATCAAATGTTATAATTTAGAAAAAATATCGATGCAACCTTCAGTAAATCCAGCAAAAAGGGACTTGCCGCCGAGAGCACGATCTTGTGTGCAGGAAAGCTACGCCCTCCTGCTGCTAATGTTACATCCACTAAATCTCCATGTCCTCTAAGTAACTGTACAGCAGAAGCCAAAGATGAGCTAAATTCTCCCCACGAGAGACTATACAACTGACTGCTGCTCCCCATTCTGTGATTCAAAATAAGAACATGTGAGCATGGCACATTATGATATTAACTCCTAAATACATTTAAAAGATTCTTTTATGTTAGTAAGTAGTCCACTATCTCCATATTGTTGTAAAATAAGGTTTACTAAGCTTAAAACATTATACTTTAAAGATGATTATGCAAAGAGTCAAGTAAATTTACATTTTCTGACAGAGAAGAATGAACAACTATGATAAATATCCGGAAAAATCATTCGCTAACGGTAGCGATGCTTGCCCGTTTCCCCCTTCCACATTTGCTTAATTAGTGCCCCCACCCCAACAAATTTGACCTCAGCGTCGTCTTTAAGCTAACCTAACAAATATCACAAGTTTTAACGGGAAACACCATAGAACTATCTAAAAACTTCTTTTTACAAATACATTGCCGTCGTGGAACACTTACTGCTATGAATGTATGAAAATAGGTTGGTGAAAGTATAAAAACAGGGTCAACCGAGCGTGAGTTACAATAGATTAAAGTGATCACTAGTCCGACTTATTTCAAACACATCGACTCGAATCATGCACTCTACCGATATTAAAAACTTATGGTACAATATTATGCATTGTGAATGCATAGGAGTTTTAGTTAAATAGATAAGCGTCTATGAGATTCCTCAAGTGAAATTCAAACGCTGGCAGAAATCATTTCGAACGTCACACTGCGTGATACTGTGCTGCCACCACCTAGCCGGCATGTTCTTTACAAAGTTTTACGGATGTGACGTTGAGCCGAGGAACCGCCAAAATTCAAATTAGCTACAATTATTTGAAGAATAATAAAATGACACGTAAATTGTTACATTTTTCAATAAACTAAAAAAAAAAAAAAAAACTATAAATCTATAATATGATAAAAATATTATATAAATCCTTATTTATTGTTATAGATAAAATTAAAATAATATAAATATAGCTTTTTAATTATGACATACATTCATTATAAGGTCATAAAAGAAAATATTTACAAACTTGACATCATATATCATTTGTTAAAAATTAAATGTAAATTATTTTTATCTTTGATATTTACATTATAAGGATTAATTAAGTGAATTAAAATAATGAACAACCAGAATAATATCATTGAAAAAAATGGTGAAGAGGATTCAAAGAAAACTATAGAATCAACAGTTATAAAGTTATTACGTACACAAGGTAAAGTTAATGTATTTTTTTTTCTTCTTTTTTTTTTTTTTACATTGTTTAATGGCCAATAAAACATTAAAATATATATTTCAGAGTATACTTTGAATGCTGTTAATAATTATGGTGAAAATTTATTACACGTTAGCGCAGCATATGGTTGCCCTAATATCATTAAAGAAATTTTACAGAAAAAAGAACATCGTCAAGTTATTAATAGAAAAAATAAATTTGGTTGGACATCTTTGATGCAAGCTATTCGAAATAGAAATACTGATACTGTTAAATTACTTTTACAACAAAAATCAAATATAAATGATTCAACTTATCTTGGTAAGTCATTACTAGCACAGCTTCTTTTTTAGAATATAAAAATTAATAATTTATTACAAATGATGTTACGATCTACAGTATAAACTAATTATGATATCTGTAAGTATAAATTCTTGATATATTTAATAGGAATGTCAGTAATTGGTATGGCTTGTGCAATAAGTAAAGAAATGTTGCAAATGATATATGAAATTTGTCCATCTACATTAATAAATGCAATGAATGATGACATTAATCCACTATGTATAGCTGCATTGAAAAATGATAAAGATTTATTTTTTTCTTTGATCGATATGGGTCTAGATGTTTCTAAAGCCAGTAAGATATATTATATATCTCTTATATAATCTATATTTTATATACCAATTAACAAAATACAATGATATTCAAACTATCTTATAGATGAATATACACACATTATAATGAAGCAATCGACAGTACCAGAAATAGCAAATTTGGCAAGATGTTATGGTGAAATAGAAGATTATTGGAATGATGGATCAAATGATATTCCAATGAAAAATGAATCAAATGATAATGTTTCTATAACTGAACATAAAAATAAACCTCAATATATTGTACAAATTCTAAAGGATTTTAACAATAAAGACGATATTTTGAATAATAACAACAACACAAACAATAACAATAATAATAATAATAATAATAATAATAATAATAATAATAATAATAATAATATCCCTTTAATAAATATTGATACATATCATACCGATATAAATAATCAATCTAATTTAATGGAAACTTTAGAAAGTACTTGTAAAGAAAAATTAAAAAGTCTTAATGTTGACTTGTTAGCTGGAGCTACATTATCAGCAGAATCAAGTCTAATATCACCTACTTTCTTAGACATCTCTAACACAGAATTTCCTACTTCTCCAAATATATATTTTGTGAAAAATTGTACAAATTTAGCCACTATTAATGAAAATGACGAAAAGGATCCATTTATGACAGAAACTGAAATAGAATATAATAAATTATTAGAAATCTCTACATCTACAAAAGATTCAAAACATTCACCTACTGTAATGCTTAAAAGGTATAATAAATCAATTATATTTAGAATAATAATATTTTTTCTTCAAAGATAATAATAAATAATAATTCCTTCAAAGATTACAGTCCATACGTCCAGCAGATTTAGATCTAACATCTGTTCAAAATGATCATAATACTACTCTTGAATTTATACCAGAATTTAGTCCTACATCGTCACCAAATGTTCCTGCATATATTAATGATGAGAATGTATCTGGTGACAAAACACCTACACCTCCACGTTACAGAACCCCACCAAGAGGAATGGTTCTAAATTCACAACAAACTAAAATGATTGTTTTTTTAAAACATTATGGTTTATGTCATCATATGTCTACATTCCTTAAAGAAGAAGTAAGTAATTTATGATTACTAAAGTTACTTAAGTAATAAAAAAAAATATTTCTTTTCTACACAGATAGACATGGATCTTATTTTAATGCTTTCTGACAAAGATTTACAAGAAATTGGAATAAAGGAAGAAGCTGAAAGGACATCTATATTAACAGCTATAAAAATATATCAAAGTATTGAAATGTAATATTATCATAGAAATATTTTATATACACACGTTTGTTTTTATGATATTTTATATGAAATTTAATTACCTGTTATTTTTTTATAAATCTAAAGTAAACAAAAACTATCATTTATATTACAAAACTTTTAACATGGATCTATGAAATTGTATGCATTTAAAATGTGTTTATTATTTTGTATATCCTAGTAGCAAATTTTTTTCTTTCTTATATGTTCCATTACTTTTAATATTAACTGAGACTTCTTTTCTTTTAATTTATGTGGAATAGAATGTTTCTGTAGCCAATCACTTAGAACAGAAGATTTTACTTGATCTAATTGGTTAAGCTTTGCCAACATTTCTATATCTACATCTTGATTCTGTAAATAAGGTTATTATACTTATTTATAGATATTATTAACAAGAATAATATATATCTATTGCAAAGCACATGATTTGTATATATATATATATACTTGCCATTTTTATATTATTTCTTATATTCAAAAATTTTTCTTTTACTTTTGTATTAGTATGTTCATTTATTTGCATTGAATGGATTGATTCTGTATTAGTCTCAAAAGATTGGAATTTTCTCTTTATATGTTGTAGACGATTTGAAGATTTTCCAACTGTTTCATTATAATTTAATAAATTACTATTTATTATTTTATTATCATTTATTTTATCTATTCTAAGATTTTCATTAAGAAAAGTTTTTCTATTATTAACAGCAACCGGTATACTAGTAGTATGAATTTTTTCAATTTCAGATAAATGTGTTATTGGCTTTAATGTTTGACACGTTGATTTATTTGTATCTGTTAATAACCAATGTTCATATTTTGATAAAAACTCAGATTTTGGTATTTTCTCAATGATCTTTACATTTGAATGAAATTTACTTGATTCTTTGTCTCCTGGTGATAATAGCTTATTCTGAAGATTCGATGTATACTATATAAAATTAATTAAATTCTAATATATATTCTATTATATATAAAAAAAAAAAATTAACTGTAATATTGAATAAATTAAATATTGCATACTTCATTTAATGAAAAAAATTCTACATTTTCTTTTTTATGTGACAATATCTCTAACTTTTTGCCACATATTTCAGATATTGTCTTACGCATATCATCTATAAATTGAGAAATTATATATTCATTATCATTGGAAGGAAACAATTGCAATGGTTTAAGAGCTACACATGTACTTGGATATGTAAAATGATTAACGCCAGGAGATGAAAATTTAATATTGTAATATATAATTCCTTCAGGAGTTTTGGGTAAACGATAACCATACTAAAAAAAAAAAACAAATAATTACATAAGTTGCACAAAAGATTTAATAAATTTCAATCAAATCTGAAAACTAAACTATACCATATTCTTCCAATGTCTACGCAATTGTTCATAATCTTTAAATGGACAACTAGATGGTATTTTTTTAACTACCGATATGATCTTTCCCATATTCATACTAAAAAAAGAATAATATTTATTTATTGTAATAAAAAAAAAACTTGTTATAAAATTTTCAAAAGAATCCAGGAATACCTTGGCAATACGTATACCGATTGAGAAAATTCTGTTAAATTGATGAAACCATTATTATCTATTAGAAAATCTAATATCGATGAACGTAACAAATAAAAATCTTCCAATTGTATAAATGGTATTTTGAGTTTTCTCGGTTGAAATTTAAATAACACGTTTCCATCTGTAAATCTATTTTTATATAAAATCTAATATAAACATATATATAAATATATATAAAGTATTTGATAATATATTGTAATACCATTTATTGAAATCTGTAATTTTAATGCATTCATTTCTTGCATAGACGTATAAAAATGTTTGCCTTGTATATAATATTGTCCAACTTTATTCCACATTGGGGCTAATTTGCATTCTATCGTATAATTAAGACAAACTATATAACCTTCCACCGTTACCGTTTGTGGACTTTTATACTTTAAAAATCAAAAATAAAAAAAAAAGAATGTTTTTTATTATTTAATTAAATAAAACTAATTTCCCCAATTAATATTCGCATATGAAACACTTGCCAACATGTTCAAAGTTCGTAAAGTTTTCTGCAATTTGCCACTTTCCAAAAATTCGTTAGAAGTAATAATAGATATCGAATTATCTGTCCCTGGTATAGGAGATGCAATAATTTCCGGAAGAATGTGTATAATTAATCTAAAAGAAAAGAAAAAAAAAAAAGAACAAGAAAAAATAAAAGAAAAAAACGTTTTATAAAATGATACCTCAATTATTGATATTTTATTGAAATTTCGTCATAAATTTTGAAAGATTCTCAAGTGAAAATTTGTATCAATTAATATTCCACTTCTATGAATTATTCATTATAACAATAACGATAAAAATGACGAATATATTAATCTTACCGACACTTTAATATTTGCCAATGATAATTCGATCTTGCTAATGAATTTTGTACTTCAATAAAATCAATTTCACAATTAACGCAACTGAGCTCTTCTTTCCTTGGTATCGCAACGTATACGATAGTTTCTTCATTTTTATTATCCATTTCTAATTAATATCCCTTTTATTGATGAACAAATATTCGATAAGAAATAAAATATATTCGAATTGTGAAAATAAAATAACGAAATTCACTGGAGATACGATATAACGAAGGAAGGAATGGATCGAGAAGAATTTTGAAAATTATTATTATTATTATTATTATTATTAATCAATTAATCATTTGAAAAGTACTACGTGAAACATATTACTGATTGAAACATGTACTTTTTTTTTTTTAAATAACAAAATAATACTCTATAAGCCATAATAAAGGCAGCCATTAGCTCGATAGTACTTGCGTTGTTTTCACGACAGAAATTACGGAATATATATATATGTTACATCGCAAGTAATATCGATTACCAGGTCCCACCACGTGGAGGTTGCTGCTGACGAGGACCCAACTTGTATAATTTATATAACAAATAAAAAAAAAATAACTTACATCATACGTAACTTATTGAAAATTCTTCCAATCTTCAGAGATTTTCAAGTAAAATTTTACAGTTCACGTCTACACATCTAATTATACAAGTACAAACGTACCTAATTTTATTCAAAGAAATGTTTTTTTTTTGCTCTCTTGATATTCCCAAATAAATATAACATCGTATAATATCGTAGAATATCGTGAAATTACCTGAATATTTTAAATTTACAATGAAATATACGTATAAAAATTATCGGCTTACGAGCGCACGAAATTTTCTTTTTCTTTTCAAGAATCTTTCGAAACTTATGACGTAATTTTTATTAAAACTAATAATAATATAATATAAAATAATCTTATATATTAATACATAAGAGATGTATTTATTGCATAAATAAATATCATTAAATAATTGAATTAAAAGCGTAGAAAGATAGAAATTTATTGGATGAAAAATTATGAGACAAAGATAACTCTCATAATAACGCATATTTCTATTAGATAATATAAATAGTTCTTTTTATTTCTTGTAGATTTTTTTCCGTTTTTAAAATTAAGATTAATATACTATAATAATAATAATAGTAATAATAATAATAATAATAATAATAATTAAAATGATTAAAACCTATGAGATTTGTAGCTCTGCTGCGTAGTAAACTTACTTTCGAGACGTCTATCGAACAACTGACGATCGCGTCGACATATTGTTTTTATAAACCGCGGTATAGATACTCGGTCGGTAATTAATTTTGTTCTGTCGATAACGATGCAAAATATGAAAATATTATGAAAAATATTGTTTTAGAATAATTACAAACTCATTGGATTTTAATAAAATTTGTCAATTTATAAATTCGATTACGAATATGCCATTTCAATTATAATAAAAAAATGAAGTAACAGCATTAACAGAAAAATAAAAGTCCCTTTGACTATTGCAATAATAGGTTACAATACATAATCTTAACTATGAGATATCATTGGTTAAAAAAAAAAAAACCACTAAACATTTTCGTGATTCATAACCATTCCGATGCAATTGTTATTTGTTTAAAATATAAAACTGCGTCTTTTGTATAATATAAAATGTTTGTCCGAAATGAATATACGTAGTTCATATAAGTACATAAATAAAAGGTGAAATAACGATTGTGATATGTATATGGGAAATCATTTTATACCTATAAATATATAATAATGGAAAAAGAAAAGTGAGTTATTTCATTTCCTAATGATATTCATTTTATATAAGTTTTGTAAATAATAAGTAAACAGTTATTAATAAGATTAAGTGTAATATTGTTTTATCGAAAATTTATAAATAACATAAGTTAATTTACTTTTATGATATAAAATCAGTCTGTAGAATATGCAAAACAAATCATTGTTTTCTTTTTTCTCTCTTTCTCTCTCTATATTTTTTTTTCTTTTTTTTTTTTTTGTTTTTTAAATAGATTTACGATGCTCCTGTTGGAGCCAGGAGAAATATTTTTTGAAGATTATAGTGTTCAGATGAGAGCGATAGAATCGTTGTTTCCAGAACAAACAGAATGGATAGACGGAAGATTGAAACTTTGTTCAAAATCATTAGTTTTTGTAAATAAAGATTTCATTCAACCATTGATCAAAATACAGCTTAAAGAGACTATAAAGGTTGAACAATATAATTCAGAAGATAATATAGAAGGGTAGGCATAATTTTATATTATTATTTAGGTAGGTTCAATGTAATATCATTAATTGTTATTGAATGGTGATGTATAATAATTTTTCAGATGCAATAACATATTGAATATTCAATGTAAACAGTATGTGGAAATGTTAGAAAAAAATGTTCTCGCACCATACAAATTTATTCATAAAAACTCGACTTTTCAATTTTCTTTTAATTATGCAAAGATAGAAAATTGTCTTCCTCAAATATTGCAATTACTTCGTGCTGCTACTTTGCCAACAGCTGAACAAAATGCAATGGTATATATATATATGTACATATATATATCTTTTGTTTTTTTCTACATAGAATTTTTTATTAAGTAATAAATATTTATCAATTTATTTATTCCTTTTTTTTTTTTTTTTAAAGATAATGACTATAGTTCACTCCAGACAATCGCGTGTATCTTTTGATACATCTTGGCTAGAAGATTTATACGAAACGGTTGTGTTAGAAATTCAAGCAAATAAAGTATTACCACTTGTAATTAATCCAGGCAGGGTATTATTAACTACATCCAGATTATATTTTCAACCTTATAACAATATGGATCAGGTTAATAATATTTAATTGTATTTATATTATAACATAATCTATTGTTAATCGAACTCTGTTTTTTTTTTTATTTTTTTTCAGCATCCCGTTTTAAAAATACAATTAAAAGATATAAGTAGTATTATACAAAGAAGATTTCTTTTGAGACAAGTGGTAAGTATTTGAATTATCAATGCTAACGTTTGAAATTATTTATTTATTTAATAATAATTCTTATTGCAAATAGGGTCTTGAAATAAAATGGCAAAAGCAAACTGATTGTAAAACTGAATATTTGTTTCTTTCTTTAAACAATCAAAGTGATAGAGATGAACTTCACAAAAAGTTATTAGATCAATCTGCTGTATCATTAGAAACTGTTCCTCAGAATCAAATGACAATGAGATGGCAAAATGGTTCTTTATCAAATTATGATTACCTTTTGTATATTAACAGGTAAAAATATTCAAGATATTGTAATAATGATTTTAAATTAAATAATAATTATGTTTTTAGTTTGGCAGACAGAACTTTTCATGATTTGACTCAGTATCCTGTAATACCTTGGATAATAAAAGATTACACATCTGCAACATTGGATTTGGACAATCCTGATATATATAGAGATCTTTCTAAACCTATTGGTGCTCTTGAACCTACTAGATTAGAAAGATTAAAGGTAAAACATCATTAAAAAATTATTAATGTAGATTTTATGATTATAAATAATTTTTGTTTTTTCTTATATAGGAACGTTACTTAGAAATGTTAGAACCAAAATTTCTGTACGGATCTCATTATAGTGCACCAGGTTTTGTATTATTTTACTTAGTGAGAAAGTATCCTCAATATATGCTTTGCCTTCAAAATGGAAGATTCGATCATCCTGATAGAATGTTTAACAGGTATTATTATTAATCTAATCATATTTTTTTTTTTCTTTTTTATACACAAATAATAATAAAAAATGTTTTGTATTTTATTTCACGCTGTAATGTCTTTTGATAAAGCTACAAAATTTAATAGTGTTGCGTATTAACAAAATAGTATTTCATTGTACTTGCTTTTAATATCAGACTCATACTTTTAATACCAGAATGCAGAATCGATTTTTTGTTTCACTCTTGCAAATAAAATACCTAACAGTGTAGCTGACGTATGGAAAAATGTTTTGGTGAACATGTCTGACTTTAAAGAATTGATCCCAGAATTTTATGATACAAACAATGGTGGTGATTTTTTAGTAAATAGTTATGGTATTGATTTTGGTTATCGACATGATGGTACAAAAATTGGTGATGTGCAGCTGCCATCTTGGGCAGAAGGTAAAATATTTCCTACACATACTTTTCTACAAAACTGTTAGGGATTTGATATTATATATATATTTTATAATTGTAGATGTGCGTATTAAAATATTTTTTAATGTAATCTTTTTTAATTATAATAATAAATATAATATTTCAGGACCTTCAGATTTTATAAAAAAATTAAGAAACGCCTTAGAAAGTGATTATGTTTCTAAAAATTTACACCATTGGATAGATTTGATCTTTGGGTATAAACAAAGAGGAATTGAAGCAGAGAAAGCTGATAATTGTAATAATATCTAATATTAATTTTCTTAAATGATGTTATAAATTCATTGTATATAAATTTACATATTGTTACAGTATTTTTTCACCTGTGTTACGAGGGGGCAGTGGATTTAGATACAATTCGTGATATTAATGATCGACATGGATTAGAAGTACAAATTATGGAATTTGGACAAATTCCAAAACAAGTTTTTACTCTACCTCATCCTAAAAGATTAATACCAATTATAGATACATTACAAACTGCAACATTAACTGTTTTACATATGACAGACATGAGTGAGTCTTCTATTAATTTAATAATATTGAAATGTTTTATATATATATGTAGTATTGTATTTTTTCACATAGGATAGATAAAAATGAAATATATTTTTCAGATGACAAGTCTCTCATAAGTGATTCAATACATCTGTCCGAATTTCTAACATTTCAATCACATAAGGAAGGAGTATGCTGTATCACAGTAACTAATAAAGGAATATATGATGAAATATTATCAGTAGGTCATGATGGCATGTTTAAACTATATTCTATAAAAAACAAAAAACTTACACGAAGTGTTTCTTTATCATCATTGCCTCTTTCATCCTGTATATCATATTATACACCATCATCTCATAATATACTTGTTGTCGGCTCATGGGACAATACACTGTAAATAGATATCCAATATTATATCAAAAAATATTTTTCCATTTAATCTTAATATAATTATTATATGGGACTTAGCTGATTTTACCATTTGCAGAATATTTTATGATATAGAATTCGGTAGAACGATTGATACATTGCAAGCTCATGAAGATGCAGTTTCTTGTTTGGCATGGAGTCCAACACGACAGATTATTATCTCTGGATCATGGGATTGTACTGCCAAAGTTTGGCGAAGCTACGTCTCAGGGCCCAAAATTAAACCTTCAGAATATTTTATAGCTCAGCTGGACCATGATTCAAAAATAACATGTATTGATATATCAAGGTAATTCTTTTTCATATGTAATTTGAAAGTTTCATTTAATTATAATGAATTCTACTATTAAATTGAAATTAACTTATAATTATAAAATTTATAGCAATGAGATGTTATTAATGTCTGGCACAGAAGATGGAGAATTATTTTTATGGAATATGGACAATTACAATTTACAATTCACTGTTAAAGGTAATTTTTTATATTACTTAAAATATAAATATTAAAAATGATTTTTTTAAATGAACTAACATTTTTTTTATTTTTCATTTTATTCTATTAAAAGGCCACACTGGAAAAGTAAATGCAATGACATTTGATCCTGAATGCAAAAGCATTATTTCTTGTGCAGAAGATCAAACATTGAATATTATTGATATTCATACAAGTACTCAGATTTATCATACAATTTTAGAACATGAAGCACTCATATTAAAATGGATTGGAATGTTATTGTTAATAGGTGATAGTGCTGGAAATATCAGCTTATGGAAATTTCCAGAAGCAGCTTTTTTGTCAAAAATCCATTGTCATGATGGTATTACGTAATTTATATCATATATTGTATATCTTTTAAAAAGTAATAATTAAATATACATAATAATACAATTGTTTTTCAACTATTTTAGGGCCACTTTTTACAATAGCAGTAACAACTGATAATAACATGGTTATAACAGGTGGAAAAGATAGAAAAGTTATAGTTTGGGAATGCAAAAAGGAATGATGAGAGTAATCAGCCTATTAAATATTGCAAAGTAAACATTTATAAAAAAAAAGGTTGCAATATTACATTTTAATTTAATGTAATATTTATTAATGATAAACAAAAAAAAACTTGTTTTAAACATGTTTTAAGTATTCTTTACTTTATTATCATTATTATTATTATTATTATTATTATTATTATTATTATTATTATTATTAATAATAATATATTTTAGTTATGAATGAATATGTTTAAATAAGGACTATTATCTTGTTACAATTTAAGAACATTGTAATATATATTTATATCAAAAGATGAAATTAAATAAGCTGTTTAAAAAAGAAAATTGTCATTGTTCTTTGTTCATATTTCATTCATATTAAATTTGTTCATATATTTCAAACTATAAGAAAATATTTAAATTTGTAATGATTATATTTGCGAACATTTATATTTTTTTTTTATAATAGTTACATGTGTGCAGATCTTTTGTTAATATCCTAAAATGATGATTTTATATTATACATAAAATAAGATTATCTGGACAATATATAATATACCATAGATCCCTCAGAAAATATAAATATTAAATTTAAATTATATTCTACGTGTACTTTTACATAGTATTCCCTTTATTGATTATATGAATTTTTATAATACTTTGTAGTTTTGGATTAAACATTTTTAGTTGACTAGATATTAATTTAATTAGATTATTTTTATCTTTTTACATTTATATCAGTTATTGAAATATACTTTAAAAACATTTCTTTTAAATACTTTTAATGAGAAAAATATATCGTTTATAACGTATATTAGAAATATCGTGTATCATTTATTACTATATCGTGAAATGCAAATGAAATGTAAATTATAGATCGAGTGCAACTATATGAACATTGTTTTTAAACTTTTATATTGACTTTCATTAATTAAAAAAGTATGTTATACACTTTTTACAGCGTCATCATTTAAGGAATATCTGTACATTAATTGCTATTAACTATAAAGGAAACAAACATAAATTGATATTTAAAAAAAGAAAAAAAAATTATTTTAGTTATTTCAGTTATTTCAGTTTTTATATACTGTTAGATTTTCAAACCTAATTTTTAATAAGATCAATACTTAGACGCTTTGTGAAATAAGCTAATAATGATTACAGTTGTTTTAATTGTTCATAAGTAATGAAGAATATAATATTCCATGGACCCATTCTAAACCATGTTGGTATAAACCCTTTATATAATGCAAAAAATCCTTCATTTTTTATGGTCTGAAAGTTTAAAGCACAATATATAAATTTGTTTTATTTTAAGAAGAACCAAAGATTATAAATGCCATTAGTAAATTTACGTACTTGAACAAAACAATCCATACTTCCAGTATAAATATGAGGTGGTAACTTGCCGCAAGAAGTTGAGATTCTCCTTTGATTCATCAATCGTGTCTACAATTAAAATGTAGATGAAAGTAAACTTTTCACAATAGATACATTTAATTGTTGATCTTATAATTAAATAATTACTTACACGTACAACATCTATTGGAGTAGAAGCAATAGCGCTTCCCATACTGGCAATAAAACTAGATCTGAAATATAAAGTTTAATATAATTTATATCGGTTTGAAATTTTTGTCTAACCGATTGTTTGCAGGTTCAGTTATTAAATAGTTTTTAATTTTATGGTAAATTATCGAATTATAGAAATTGCAATTAACAGATCAAAATGAACTATAAAGTCAAAAACTACTTAATTCTTATTTGTGATTATAAGAGAAGAATTGTACTATAATTTACATCATTTGTATTTATATTTACACATTCTGTAAATGTTTATATTATAAGAAGAGAACCCTTATCCAGGCATTATGCATGAATTTATATTAAAATATATGATGTCTGTGGTGACACATGATTATTACAGGAAAGCATACAAAATTATTGTTAGTATCAATTAATGCATTTTGGGATAAAAAATAAAATAAAAAATACTAATAAAAATAGAAAAATTTTTCGACTGCCATTGTAATGATTGACATTGAAATTATATTGATTTTTTTAATTATGCACTGTTTAGCAATTAGTAAATGGATTTTCTAAAGCTCAGGGGATGCATAAATTGCTAACCAAAAAGGTTTGTGTTGCAGAACATCTGCAGGAACGTGTGAACAAACTTATACTGAACATGGAGTGTTGAACACTTTAGTGTCAAGTCTCTGAGGTCATCTCAATATCCATGTACTGCTTGCGCCCGTGTGCAAGATAATGAGTATGGACCTGGAAATAAAACGTTGATATTTTAGGAAATGATTGCTCTTTTCTATTAATACAAACATTATATAACTCCATCATGTACAATGCTAAATCCATTGCTAAAACCTAAAGTTTTGAGAGACAAAATATTATCATGTTATTATTAAATGTATTATCAATTGATTTGTAACAATGCATTAAAATATAAAAATGTGTGACAAAATGTTATATAAAATAAAGCATAAACAAAGTGCACATCAAAATAAAAATTAATAAGGAAGGCAAACCTTTGAGATGACAGAATGTATTCACATGACATCATGTATTATATGGGATGTTTTTCATAAACATTTTAAAAAGCCAATTATTAAAATTTAAATATATTTTTTTTTAATTATATAAAATAATATATACGTTTAACTATAATTTATGGCAAAATACGAATCATTGATATCTTGCGATATAAAAAGAGTAAAAAATTGCTCGGATAAGGGTTAAGCTGATACAAGTAGTATCAGTGTAATACACATTGTACAACATGCATTATATGATACAATGTTTGTAACATATAATATGTTTAACACATGTATAAATGACATATTATATTTAATAAAAATATTTTTTAGAATTAAAAGAGAAATTGGATATTGTACTGTAAATAATGTTAAGTGGTTGTAATTTAATTAATTCTGATATTTTAATCAATATTCATTATAGAATATATTTACAAAACATTATAGTTTGTGCCAATGCACATGTATGATTAAATTCTGTTTTTATCATATGAAATAGCACTTACAAAAAATGGTTACTAATGCTGTCTCCAAGAAAATCCATAAATTTAACCTTACTAAAATCATAAATAGGTAATTCTACTGCTGCAATGATAGCAGCTCTTTGAGCAGTAGGTCCTACACCCTGTAAGAAAATAAATTATTAACCTGTATAAAAATATAATTATTTATTTCGTGATAGAGCTCCTAATGTTATTTTATTTTTGATAAACTTTAAATTTAGTAGTTATATATGTTACCCTCCATAAACCACGAACACCTTCATGTTGATACACGTCTTGGAAGCAACTCACTAAGGATAGATTTGCATCGATACCTGTAACTTGCATACGAACTTTTATCACATCTGTAGGATTGGCTATTGCACTTGATATTGCACCAGCTAATGTTGCGCATATAATATTAATAAGTACTGCATCATCTGTTCCCCATTTCTTTATAGCTATTTCTTGAAGAGAATAATAAGTTCCAAATTTTATAGTTCCATATGTAGCCTGCCTAAGAATAGCCGAACTAATCCTGTAGAAATTAAAAAAAAAAAAAAAAGAAAAAAAAACAGATGGCTTTATAAATATCATAATTTTCAAAGTTTAAATAATAATATGTTTATGAGCAATTACTATGTTATTATTTCTATCAATTTATCATAAAATCATGTATTAATATATGTTTCTAACAAAAATATACCCAGAATATAATGCTCTAAATCCTTCTTCTTTGGATATTTGGAATAAAGCATTAGTCATACCAGAATACTTCAAATGTGCATGCTTTCTATCCAATTTTTGACCTTGCACTTGCAAACGTGTCTTTGTTGTATCCAAAGGAAAAGTACCTAATAAAAAGAGCAGACATTGGAATAATGTATAATATTTCTTCCATATACTTATGATAATCCATGATCTTTATAAAATGATTTTTATTATGATAATCTTACCTAACTCTGCAACAATAGAAGCAAGGCCTCCATAAACAAAAGGTCGCCAATCATTAGATTCTCTTTCTCCCATCACCTTTGGTTATTTTGTTAGCAATGAATTCTAAAAATTTATTAAAAATTTTTCATAAATATTTATATGAAAAACGGGAATCCCTTATGACAACAATTATTAGAAAAACTACATATAACAAAATAAAATCCCGTAAATAATTAAATTACCTACGAAGTATATCAAAAGTATAACAATATATATTCTTTTTGAATATTGATGCAATAATAATGAAATTATTTTACACTATAAAACAATGTCAATATATTTAAAAAGATTAATTTAAAATATTCTCCCTCGTATACAATCACGAGAGCCTCTCATTCGTCAACCAGAAACTAAAAATGTCATTAGACGTCGTGTTCATAGATTTTACAAAATAAACAAGATACGAAGTATCTCATCAGAAATGAACAAAAACATCTGACGAAACGTATAGAATGAAAAACTTATTTGCCGATAATGATTACAAAATTAATGTGAAATATTATTGTTCGTTTCATATTATTGACGTAAATGATATTTTTGACATTATTCACGAAGAAAAAATTGAATACTGTGGCGCCACTCAAAAAATTGCGGCAAAAGAAATGAAGCTCATAACCTCTCTAATTACTGATTTTCATACACACGCATAAATGGCGTAGGTTTTATGTCCATGAAATAACGATTGCCTGTTTGATTGTGTGCGTAAATTGAAAATAAATATTTCTAAGTTCAAAAGAAATGCATTTCACAATGCTCGATATTACGGTAAATCATTCGATCTGAATTTTTTTTCAAAATATATATACATATATATTATTTTTAATAAAGATCAAAATACAAGTTCATTTTCACATCATCTATACGAAATTTTTCTCTAAGCGATATTTTCTTATGGTTTCCTTTGTATTATTATTATTATTATTATTATTATTACTAGTAATATTACTATAATAATAATATACAATATAATAATATAGTAATAAAAATAGTAATAAGAATAAACGGAAGAATATATTTACATTATATGACACATATGATGACGATAATTTATAACAAAATGAAGAACAAATGTAATGATTTTATCTGATGGTTTGGATAAATGATCGTCCATTGAAAGATACGTCCAATACAAACAATAATATATGACGATAAGTACGAAACGTTTCTTTTGTTCTTGTCCACTATCATTTCTCTTTGTTTTATTATCTTATGATAGTTATGTACTTATTTTCCACACTATTTTCTTACTCACGATTAATCGAAATTAATTATCCTTACTATTATAGTCATATTATAAAACGTATTAAATAATATATTATATTATTATTATTATTATTATCGTCAATAATAATAATCAAAGTCGTATAGAGTGAATTACTTCTATAGAGGCAACCACGTAAAAAAAAAAAAACTAAGAGTACTATCTCATAAATAATTTGAAAATGAATTCGTGTTTTAATTTGTATTAAAATAACATAATATATAATTATTTATTAATTATTTTTAAGAAAATATTCGACGAATTCTTCTTTTTTATCGCAAATTTATATATTAATTCTTACATTTATTATTTTCTACGCATTTATCGTGAAACAAATGCGTCAGAAAAAGAGATATACTTATGAGATATTGAAAAGTGTGAGTTCACGGTTTACTAAACACTTCTTACTTTTAACTCATACGAAAAAACAATTATTATATATCCGTGAGATGAGAATAAACAACATAAATTGAATCCATTGATACGATAGACGGTATGGTGGGGGAACACTGCTCTCGCTTGTTTCCATAGTTCATATTTTGTCCATACATGTCGCTGCAGTCGCATAACCTTTGAACGAAAGATAATGAACAATCTTAAACAGATTGAGTATATGTTTTGATATTATTCTATTCTTTGTTTTCTCAAGCTAACACCAGATGGACCTCTAAATGTATCTGATCAAAAACATTGTACATCTTTATTTATTTTTAACCTATGGTTTTACAAATGATCATATGTATATTGTTGTTTTGATTTCGACGATACAGTTTAATCATGGATACGCCAGTATTAACGAAACAACAACAAAGGCTAAGTTTGTCAGCCAAAAAAGGGCCTATGAAAGGATTGCGTAATATCCTAGCTCAACCACATGACAATTATTGGTATATTTCTCTTTTACTTTTTAATATTATATATTTTTAATCTTATAAGAATTAACAATGTATTATTTTTTATTAACAGGCCTGTGTTAAATGGGGAGGATAATGTTAAACTACATTCTATATTGATAGAGTGAGTTGATAAATTAATGAGTGTGTGTGTGTGTGCGATAGCTTTATAAATAAATTAATTATATTAATATTTTATAGTTTATTTCCTGCATTAAGGAGATCGTCATCAAGAGTGAAAAAGAAACATATAGAAAATGAAGTAAACGAAAAGCCAGAAATTAAGAAATTATTGCCTAACAAAGATATATTGTAAGTTTTTATAAAAGAAAAAATTATTTTAAATAATTTATGCCTCTCTTTTAGAAATTCAGTGGTCCTTGGTATTAATACTGTTACACGTTCATTAGAAAGAAACATAGCATGTTGTGTTCTATTGGATGCTGACGTAGAACCACCATTTTTAATAAAGCATATTATTATGATGGCACAGATGAAAAAAGTACCATTTCTTCTTGTACCTTCTTTTAAAATTCTTACATTAGAGAATATTGGATTTAAATGTTCTGCATTTGCTTTGAAGGTATGATTTTTATATTTGTTTATAAACAAAAACAAATTTATTTTATCTTAATCCAATGTATTTTTAATTACAGAAAGTGGCATTATCTTTAGATCATCATTTTTATACATTGTACAATAATGTATTACAAATATCTAAAAATTATCCTGCATCAAGACAGTCTTTACAAATATTCCCTCCTGATGAAATTTTAGATTGTACAATATCCGATGTCAATGAAGTAAATGATAATGTACCTAAAGAAAATACTTTTGAGGTTAACAAAGTATTTATCCTAGATGAAAATGTATATAAGTTTAGATCATCGCGCAAAGAAAGAATATTTATTCCATCAAATGCAATCTGTAATACTGATAACATTCAAGAGGAAAATATTGAATTTATTTCCATAGCCAATGTCAGTCTTAATGATAATGATAAAGATATATCAAGTTTAGAAACTACAAGGTATTTTAATCTTTCCTTAGAAAATGATGATAAATCTAATAATGTAATAAAAAAGAAAAGAAATGATACAAATAATGTTGAAAATAACCCTGACAAGAAGAAATCTAATGATATTATATATTTACCCTTGAAAGTAAAACAATTACGAGGAAATAGTAATAGAATGAAAGCTACTAAAGTTCCTAAAAATAAAAGATATAATCTACATAAATAAATAACTGATTATAATAATTATAATAATTTTGTTATCTAATTGTATATTAAAATAAATGTATATGAAATATTTATATGATCAATATATATATATACATACATATATGTATATATTTATGATTTATACATTATTATTTGTTGTACAATAATGATCATATTAAATATAAAAAAATTATTGAAATAATAAAAATTTTGCAATGTTACTTTTCTAGAACATATACGAATAATCCCTATATACGAATAAATATATGAACAAGAATGTGCACTGGTATGTAATGATATGCATATAAGGGATTAAAAAAGATATAACAATATAGTACAGTCTTTGAAAACTATAGACACAGACATTGTAGAGAAAAATTTCTTTATATTATAAATAAGTAGTTCTTGATATCTAAAATATAATAATATCATACAGGTAAAGAAGAATTTACAGATGATTTCAAATTTCTGGTAAAAAACGTTAGGACTGTAAGTCCACCTGGAAGACGTAATAAACCAAATGTTAACATACCAACTAACTGTAAACCAGCACAAAGTATTGTCAATGGTGTCGATTGTAAATAGAGCGCGAAATACAATGTGCCTATTAATGTTGCAAAATAAGATATAGTAAAACAACTTCTTTCAGCTGTGAAAAGAGATTTTATATAATTTATTGGACCCCACAAAAAGCAGAAACTGCAAATGATAATAAATTATTTCATAATGTTATACAAGACTTCATAAAACAATAATTAATTAATAATGATTAATACGCTTACCTTAATAAAAAGAATGAACTTCCTACACTATATAATAAAGCAAATTTTCTTGCTTTAGTAAGAAGAAAAGGAATATACATGCCCGATAAACTAAAGCACAATAATCCCATAAAAAGACAAAAGGCAAAAGTCATCAGCCTTTGCATTCTTGTCTAAGAGAAAAAAAGAAAAAAAAATCACATAAATAATAGTAAAATACCATGTAGTTTCGACATATAAACTATAATACGATTAAGATATGTCAATCCAAATTTTAAGGTTATAACGAAGAAACACACCATACTAGGACAACATTCCCTTTGTGTTCCTTGAATCCATCCCGTTTCTTCCTTCGTTTCATCTGCATTTCTTCCAAACCATTTTCCAATGTTCGGCTTTGGTAACGTTACGGAGGGTACAGATATTTTAAATTGTTTCTCATTTTTGTTACCGAGAAGATATTCGTTCAATTCTTTGTTGAGGTCGGCCATTTTGATATATTATCGATCTTAACCGCGCGCATGCGTAAAAAATTCGATACATTATTCCATAACTTATTGATCACATATTATTCTTCAAACAAGAAATTATATGATATTATATTTTAATTGATTAATATTTCGTAGGATTTTGGAAGAAAATATCAGGATAAAATAAATTCGATGATATAAATTTCGAAAATTACATCAAGAATCAATCGGAAATTATACGCCGTGAATAAAAACTCACGATGGATTTTCAAACTTACATTTATTTAAACAAATCAACATTTACCTCATATTTACGGATTGTATACTGTATTTGTTGTACGGGTAATGCATCGCTCTTTCTCTCTCTCTCTCTCTCTCTCTCTCTCTCTCTCTCTTTCTTTTTCTCTCTCTCTCTCTCTCTCTCTCTATCTATTTCTCTCTCTCTCTTTCTCTCTCTCTCTTTCTCTCTCTCTATATATATATCGCAAGATCGTATTGTTCCTGCAACGCGTGTTTTTATCGCTTTGGGATCGCATGTGTCGATGGAATTATAACGAGACTAGAAGATTTCGACTAGAAACAAGAAATTATTTAAATGTCATGATCGAAGACAATAACGATGTTAATGATTAATTATAATGTAATAATAATAATTATTAATTATAATATAATAATAATAATAATAATAATAATAATAATAATAATAATAATAATAATAATAATAATAATAATAATAATAATAATAATAATAATAATAATAATAATAATAATAATAATAATAATAATAATAATAATAATAATAATAATAATAATAATAATAATAATAATAATAATAATAATAATAATCAATAATATAATCAATAATATAATCAATAATGATAATAATAATAATAATAATAATAATAATAAATATAATGACAATGATGTTAGCAATAACTTACGATGACGATAATGATAACATTAAAAAGCACAACATAAAGGAAACATGATAATCTTAATTAACAAATCGATCACATTCGGATACACATTAGTACACGCTAAACGAACCATATTATTTGTAGGTCCATTTTGTCCTCTTATATTTCTGCTTTTAATTTACTGTTTTTCTTTTTCTTCTTTTTTTTTTTTGTTTTTGTTTTTGTTTTTGTTTTTCTTTTACCGCTAAATACGTACAGCTCGCGACCGCTCGATATCTCGATTACACGATATATGGAATGAGAATGCTAATTAATAATTATTCGACATGAAGGTTCCTAAAATCATGCTTGTACCGCGAAACGAATTCTTTTTGCTTGGGATTAAAAGGCTTTTTTATACGATTACATCTCGGGTACGTAAATTATGCTGCGTGCGCGTATGTGTAATATGTGTGTTATGTATTAAGTATGACATGAAAGTATCAATTGCGTATATATATATATATGTGTGTGTGTGTGTATATGTGTATTTATGCGCATGTGTGTATTTGTATGTATATATATATATACGTGTGTGTTTCCGCGATCGTATGAGTGCCTGTAAATGTAAGGGGACTTTGTTTTAACTATATACTTTGGCTTTTCGACCTTTTTACGCTTTTTTCTTTTTTCTCTCTTTCTCTCTCTCTATCTCTCTCTTTCTTTTTTTAAATCTCACACATATATTCTTAAACACTCATTCACTCTCTCACTCATTCAATCACTCTTTCTCTCTTTCTCTCTCTCTCTCTCTTTCTCTCATTATTAACGCTAATGGCAGCACAGATACAATTTTTATATTATTAGCACCTGTGCTCAATCTGTTCTTATTACAAATATACGCGTAAAGATAAATGCAAGCCCTATTAACGTCATCTATTTCTCGTAAGATAAAACGTTAAGGAGCTTACATCTTACTGGAGATTAATACGCGAATAATAATAATGATAATAATAATAATAATAATAATAATAATAATAATAATAATAATAATAATAATAATAATAATAATAATAATAATAATTAAGTTTATGTATATAATATACAATATGCGCGCGAGATAACGCCGATAATCAAAAAGTGTGCACTACGAAGAAGGAAACTATAGTTCGTGTGTTTATGTGTTTATGCAAAAATGTTTACGTAAATTATGTGTTTCTTCTTTTATATATTTTTCCCGTTACAATCTTTCTTATTCTATATCACTCATTCTATCTCTGTATATTGTGGATGTCTTATTGTGTTTCTTACGTGTATGTGCGTGTCTGTGTGTGTGTGTGTGTGTGTTTGTTAATATTTTTAATATATGGAATGTATGCGAAGAATATAGAAAGAAGAAACGAATTCTCTTATTATGCAGTATATCATATTATAATAAACTTTATCACGACGTGGATATGATTATCATTTTCGTCGAAAGATAAGCGAAATGAAATATATAATTAGAACGGAGAGGAATTGTAAGAGCAATCGAAAAAAGAATTGAAGAAATTTCAACGTCTCCCATTTGTTTCCCTTTCTCTCTCTCCCTCTCTCTCTCTCTTTCTTTTTCTGTTTTTCTTTTTTATTTCTTTTTTTTCCTTTTTTCTTTTCTAAAAATCTCCGATAAAGAAGACAGGTAATTCGATAGAAAAGATGAAAAAAATGTAAAGGAAGAATATAGTTTTATCATTTACATTACAGTAATCAGTTCTCATCGATAATTATTTTATATATGTAACTATATTTTTTACATCTTTTTTCTAATCGACAAATGGAGCGAGAAAGACACAAAGGGTTGGAGATAGAGAGAGAAAGAGAGAGAGAGAGAGAGAAAGAGTGAGGAAGAGAGAGAGGAAGAGAAAGAGAGGAAGAGAGAAAGAGAGAGAGAGAGAGAGAGAGAGAGAGAGAGAGAGAGGGACAGAGAATGAAGATGATTATCACTGAAATCGATAGTCGAATAAATCGTCTTTCTAATGATATCAACTGACAACAATTAATGCTAATCCGCATTTGAGAACACAACTAACGAGAACACTTCATTCATTCTAAGTTGCCCTGTTGATGATACTGTTGCTTCCTTTAACTATGTATTTTAACGAATTAACAAATATATATATATATATATATTTATATATATATGTGTTATCGGAAAGCGCGAGAGAACTTAGGGATTCTCGTATTTTCTTTTTAAGCGGTGGTATCGTCTAAACGAAGAGCATTTTTATTTAAATTTGCAGAACACGTGAATATCTTTTAATTAGAAGAAAATCATTTACGATAGTGTTTAAGATTGCGTGGTATCTGACCAATCATAATGAGGGAAAAGAAAGGAATTATAATTGTTTTTCTTTTTTTTTTCTCTCTCTCTCTCTCTTTTTTCTTTCTAATTTTAAATTGATTCGATTCTTTTATACTCGCGTTTATCGTCGTCGGCATTTCTTTTTATTTCTTTTTCCTTTTTTCGAACAATATTTCAATATCGATCGTAAACATTTAAAAATGAAAATAGTTGGACGTAAAAAAAAAAATTCGTCAATGAAATGTGTATTACGAATAAAGACAGATTTGTGAGTCAATAACGATCGTCGAGTGTCACTCGTAAAATTATTTATATCCGAGTATCATACTACGATCCATATTGACTTGTCACTTTTTTCTTTTTTTTTCATTTCTCTTTTTTTTTTTTTTGTTTTCTCTCATCTCTTATTCATAAAATTCCGCACATTGATGTGTTTGGCTGTACACCGATAAATACGATTAAAAATTTTGTTAAATCGTTTTATTGTAAGACTGAAAAAGAATCATCCGATTAACTTATTCAGTAGAATTATTTTCACCTTTAAATCGATAATAAAAGTTTCGAATAAAACGTTGGTCTGTATCATTCGTTATCTTTATCCATCTCTCTCTCTCTCTCTCTCTCTCTCTCTCTCTCCCTATCTCTCTCTCTCTGTCTCTTTTTCTGTTATAAATTTTTCACGTACATATATAAGTATCTATATCTCCTTTCTTTTTTTCTCTCATTCTTTTACAATCTCACCAGAGTATACTTAAAAAATAAATTTTCTAGAGAAAGAGAGATAGAGAGAGATAGGGATAAAGATAGATAGACAGATAGATAGATAGATAGAGAGAAAGAGAGAGAGAGAGAGAGAGAGAGAGAGAAAAAGAGAGAGAGAGAGAGAGTCGAAATAAAAAAAGCGACTCATGATCCTTTTTTCTTTTCTCTTCATACCAACGATTTGTATTTCGCGAAGCGTATGATGAATGATCATTTACACGCACGAGAGATATCTCGAATCGTATTTTATTTATTTTCTTTTATTTATTTATTTATTTTTTTTAGTTATTTATTTATTTATTTATATATTTTTTATTTCTCGTAGAAATTGAGAGCCCTTCGATTACGTCTTTTTTAATATTTCCATCGTCGAATCATCGTCGTTAGGCAAACGAATTAGATGAATTGGACGAATTTCAAAATTACGTTGTGTAAATCTTGCAGGAACGAAGCTTAAGATTTGTAACACTAACGATTTATGTATCGATTATCTGTAAAGTATAGAGAATCGATACACGACATATATGTACGTACGTATATATTTTTATTACATATATACATACGTATATGTATATATATATATGTGTGTATGCGTGCTATATATATATATATATATATATATATATATATATATGTATATATATGTATGGCATGTGACAAGCACGAATGCGTTTCAGTCTCGTAATATTGTTTTATTTTTCTATTTACTATTATTTTAATCGATTAAACGCGATCACGACAATACGAGTTTTGTTTCTCTCTTTTTCTCTCTTTCTCTCTTCTTCTGTATCAATTTTTTGCTCTTTGTCATCCTCTTCTTTAAAACAATATACTTCTTTTATCTCTCTCTCCTCTCTCTCTCTCTCTCTCTCTCTCTCATTCTTTCTCTCTCTCTCTCTCTCTTTTTTTTCTCTCTCTTCTCTATCGAATGCATCCTTCATTCAAAATTCGAAATGATATTTTAATCTAATAATTATGAATATCAATGTAATATCAAAAACACGTGGAAAGAGGACGAATATCGAAGGGACAAAGAGATGTGAAATGAAATAAAATAAAAAAAAAAAAAAAAAAAAAAGAAAAAAAAATTAGTAATAATAAAAAAGAAAATAAAATAGGAAAAAAGCTATACGTAGAATTGTGTATGTATATGTTTGATTAGTGTTTGTTATTATTGAGAAAGAGTATTATGTATACGATACTCGAGTGTTTCTCGACTAATTTGCAACGCAATAAATCGCGCGACATAAACTATGAGAAATACTGATACAGTCTGTGATCAATTTATAAATATATATAACGCAGCTAATAAAGTCCGCTTCCTTTCCATATCGATTGATGAAAAGTAACACGTTCGTGCGGTATGTAGTCCTCTCGCTAAACATTCGACAAAGGATTTTCTTTTTTTGGCCATTGCACTCCGTGCACATTTCGATTGGCCAAAGTTCGATTTTCCTAGTCGTTAGATTACGTTAGAATATAATAATCTAATCATTCAAATGACCTTTTATATAATCCTAATTCATATTGCACGCACCGGCACAAACGAGCCATTGAACGCGATCGGCCGTCTTTCGTATGTATAAAAAAAATATTTATATAAAAATGTACCTTTTGGTACATTGAATTTATTTAAAAAGAAAAAAAAAAGATACATATATATATATATGTATATACGTATACATATATATATGTATGTATAAAAAAAGAAAATATGCAGAATAAAAATAGATTGAAAAATAAAACGACCGACAAATATTCTCTGGCTCGTCGCTAAAAACAAAAAATCAATAATTATGCATCGTCATACGCAACGAGATTCTCTCTCTCTCTCTCTCTCTCTCTCTCTCTCTCTTTGTCTCATTTTCTCTCGCATTTCTTCTTTTCCTGTTATTTTTTTTCTTGAATTTTTATCTTGATCGATCGAGAAAAGGGATTTTAGATCCCTTCGCATAATACGGAAATTATTATATATATATATATATATATATATATATATATATATATATATATATATATATATATATATATATATATATTCCTCTCTCATTCTCTCTCTTTTTCCTTTTTTTCTCATTCTCTCTTATCATTTATCATTTCGTCGTATTGACGGCTTCTTTTTCGCGAATAAAAGAAACAAGCAGGTTGACCCTCGTCGAACATCGAGCGGTCGGGTCGACTAGGGCAACCCGTTATATTCTCGCTCCCTTTTTCCTTCGAACCTTCTTTTTTTCTTCTTTTTTTTTTTTTATTTTCTCTCTTCTCTCTCGCACGTACATATCTTCTCTTTCATCCCATTCCCTTCGCATTCGAGCGTTATCGATATAATTATATCTAAACTCTCTTTCGCGCGTATATAATTGTATATCTTGTGTGCACTCGATCACCAAGGTACTCTACCTCTACGTCCCTATCCCTATCCCTATACCTTTTCCCTTTTCCCTTTTTTCCCTTTGTTCACTTTCGTCATTTATTTTTTATCTTTCAGTCTCTCTCTCGCTCTCTCTCTCTCTTTTTCTCTCTTGTCCCTTTATTACACTCTCTTCGTACGCAAAATGTTTTACAACTACGCTTACGATACTATTCCCGTATTTGAATTTTTTTTTATCGTGAATTCACGCTTGCTTTCTCTCTCTCTCTCTCTCTCTCTCTCTCTCCTTCTCATTTTCATTCTCTTTTTTTTTTATTAATTTTTTTTATTCTTTTTAGTTTTATTTATTTATTTATTTATTTTCGCTCTCGTTCTTGTCGTCATTATTATTTTTTGTTGTTGTTATTATTATTATTATTATTATTATTATTATTATTATTATTATAATTATAATAATTATTATTATTATTATTATTATTATTATTATTATTTGTATTAGAGTTTTCTATTTCTTTTCTTTTTTTTTTTTTTTTTTTTTTAATCGCGTTCACAGCGTTATACTTGAAACGTTCAAATAACTATCGCATCTTTTTTCTTGTTATTTGTTTTTGTTATATTTTTTTTTCCTTTTCTTTCCTTTTCCATTCTTTTTCATTTTCATATTCTTTTTATTTTTCTTAATCTTTTCTTATCTTTTCTTTTCTTCTTTTCATTTCCTTTTTTTTTGTTTTCTTTTTTTAGTTGTTGTTGTGTCATTATCTAATATCACTTCTAACACGATTCTAATATCGTTCTTTGTAGAAATAATAGTGCGATATTGGTTTCTAAATTCGACGACGACGACGAAGACGACGACATTTGACATCATTTATCGATGATGATGCGCGCTCGATTAAACGTGAAACGGAAAAGAATATATTTCTCTTCTTTTATTTCATCGTAAAATTTCGACAATGTTCTTATTTCTTAAGAAATACACGTTACGATCGTCGTCCGATCAATTCGTAAACGTGTCGCACTTTTTATTAGACTAAAATATAATAATAATAGACGATAGTATCGTCGATACTTGACCCTCTCTCCTCATTTTAACGTGACGTACGCAGCTTTACTTTGATTTATCGAAAGAATCGTAAATTTCTTTGTTTTTTTTTCTTTGTTTTTTTTTCTTTTTTTAAATATCTCTTCCTGATTTTCCTATTGGTTTTTTCTTCTTTTCTTTCTTCTCTTTCTTTCTTTCTTTCTTTTTTCTTCGTCTTTTTTTTTTATTTCTTTTCTCAATCGTAATCCCTCTCCACGTAGGCCAACGAAGTTTAAAATGCCTATTTCGAAGGTCCCTTTTGTTGAAGTTTCTTTTCATTGCCATCCGTTTGCCGGTATTGTACGTTGCGTTAAAAAAAAAAAAAAAATATATATATATATATAAAAAGAAGAAAATAAAATAAAAATAAAGAAATAAATCGGAAAAAGAAGAGAGAATATTTTTCCATCCTCCAAATATCACAGGATTCTCATCGTAGAATCTTTATCGGTGAAGAAAGGCGAATGGAAATGGATTGCGTTTAATACGATAAGGGTATGATAAATTAAGATTAATGAAATATTTGTTTGATTAAAAGAAAAAAAAAAAAAAAAGAAAAATACGATGAGGAATTGAGATATGGGAGTAATGAGATAAATGAAAGAAATGCTTCTCGTCGATAACGAATCGAGAGTTAGACCGTCGTGACGTATTGCCGAAGTTCGGTGGCCTCGCCGTCCTCATTGGCGAACCAAGGATCTTTGTACTTAGGCACCTCTTCGCTTCGAGCTCTATAAGGTCCACGAGCTAACTCACGAGATCGCATACGAGGTACCTCCTCGCTTAATGACCTTTTGCTAGGGTCCATCGTAGTTGGAACTTCGAGAAGGGCTTTTGATCTTAGCAACTGTGGTCTCTGTCTACCTTTTGGCTCTTCGCTCGAGGCACGAACTATCGTGTGTTGCGGCAGTGCTAATCTTTCCTCCAATTGATAACCACTTTCCGATCTGGCACGAAGAGCGGCTTTCTTTTTGGATGCCCCACGGCGTTCCTTCACGATGCTTTTCCTTTGTTGAGCCGGGGAATATGCTTGTACCGACAATTGTTGCTGTTGCGATCTCTGTCTTTTAACCGGTGTAGTTGGTACTTGGGGTGACCAAACAGGCGAAGACTCGATCGGACTGGGTGCTCTCTTAATCGGTGTTTTCTCAGGTGATTCGTCCTTCCAGGCACCCTGATAAATTGGGAAGGGTGATACTTGGTTGAGAAAACGCCAACGAAAGTCTTCTTCCTCTGTACGAGTTTGCGTAGTTGCCATAGGTGGACAATGAGTCGGTGTAACATTGTGAAAGGGAGACCAATCTTTTGGTTCCTCGGACTCGATGGTAGGTCCTCGGATTGGTCCACCACTGGCATCACTAGGCGAACCATCGTACGGTGTCCATTTGATCTCGCTGATATGCTTTTGCTCGCGCTTTTTAACCCCAACATTTGGCAATGGCGAAGCGTCCTCGTACGGTGCCCATTTGGCATTCGTCACCGTTATCTCTGGCGATATTAAACGTCGTACGATCCTATTCTCCAGTCTTGTCATTTGCCTTGGATCCGGATCAGGCGACATACTCCTACGGATACTATACCTTGGTCTTTCTCTTAGACTTTTACTTTTACCTGAATCAGCTGAATCACCTCTCGACCATCTCGATTCTTTCTTTTCGGCTGGCAACGAAAAGTGCGTCTTCATTGCCCACTTAGCACGAGGCTTTCTAATATCCTCGGTTGGACTCGCAACAGTTTCCTTTTGTTCCCATTTCTTCGACATACCAGTTATACTGAGTATACTTTTGGTTTGATGGGCAGAACGTACCAACTTCGGTCGTTCCTTTACTTTCTCTTGTTTAATTAATCTGGATCCTTCGCTGGCATGTTTCTTCAGTTCGGGTCTCTCGTGTGACGGCGCGACTGGTTCCTCTTCTGGTGTCAGGGATTTCGAATAAACCATCCTTCTCTCAGGTTGTTCCTTCTCTTTTGGTATTTCCTTTTCTACCCTGTCTTCCGACTTTTCTTCCTCGAGCTTTGGTGGCTCGACGGGCGACGGAGAAGGTGGCAACGTCTTTGCCTTTGGACATGTACATCTAGGTTTTGGATTAGGTAATACCTCAGGTATCTGAAGAGTCCATCTGGCTTCACGTGCCATCCTCGTATCGTCGCTACTGTGTTTTCTAAGATCGTGCATCGGCGGTGCCAAATAATCAGGCTTAACCGACCACTTGTCCGTTTCAGCACTGTGATGCTTTCGAAGATCACCTCGTTGTACCCCATCGTGTGGTTTCTTCTCTTCGGGCGTTAAATTGTGACAACTGCACTTGGTCTTTCTGGCCAAGTCAACGTCTGTGCTAGAAGTATGAAGAGCCCAACGGAACTCAGTACCCTCACTTGCATGTTTTTTTAAGTCCCAGATCGCGTCGTCCGGTGAGAGGAAACTCGTGTTGGCCCATCTTGCCTCGACGCTACGATATTTACGAAGCTCGACTCGATCCCCATCGTCAATGGATACATCGACAACCGACGAAGAGACCTCGCAGCTGCAGGTTCGACTTGCCGATGGCGGCGGTGTTCTCGTTGATTCCAATGGCGGTGCTTCGATCGCATCTAAATCTTCGATCGTATAAACAATCTCCTCTTTTCGTCGTTGACCGCACGATGGACAACGACCACCTTGAATTATAATGTCCTGATGAATCGGATGCTGTTTTTGTGGCTGCTGCTGCTGCTGCTGCTGTTGCTGTTGTTGTTGTTGTTGCTGTTGTTGTTGGTGCTGCTGCTGTTGCTGTTGGTGTTGCTGAATTTCTTGTTGGCGTTGCAACGTCGACGTCGAGGCTGAGGCCGAGGTCGATGCGGAGGGGTCAAGCTGCGATCGCAGCTCCTCGTCGTCGTGCCGACCGTCGTCAGAGCGTCGTAACGTCGCAGCCGTGCGGGTAGATGCGCACCCACAAGTGTGTATAGCTCCGTCAAGCCGCCTTGGTGGGTACCGCGACTCCGGAGACGACGAGACTCCGTTCGAGGCCACTTCCAGATAGGCTGCCACGCTCGTCGGCTCCGCAAGCCTAATTAAATATTTTGAATTTTTATTGAACCCTTACACGTATATCTTTTTTTTTATTTTTCGTTTAATTTTTTTTTTTTATTCTTTTTTTTTTTTTTAATTCTTCCATCATATTATTTGACAATACGTAAAGGTAATACAATTTCGATAAAAGTTATTAGAATTTAATTAAATTTATTAAATGAAAGATTTTTATATAATCTTTTCTTCACTACCTTCAGTTCGGCGAATATTTCGGTGAAGAAGCCAGGCTCGCTGTTGATTCGTAACATTTCGGAGCTCAATCGATTGACGATCAACAGACACCTATCCCAAAACTTATCCTTGCTATCCTCGACGAGGAACGGCTTCAAAGGATAACTAATCTCATTGCCCATGTAACTGTAGCTCAAATAGAGGCACGTTAACACGGTTGCACGAAGTTCCCTCTCGGAAGCTTCGTCTCCATCGACTAGTTCTCTTACAAGCATATAGACGAACACTACGTTGGCTGGGTTGATAAATGCTACGTCCTGAAAAAAGAGAAAAGGAAAAAAAAAAGAAAAAAAGAAAAAAAAAGAAAAAAAAAGAGAGAAAAGAAAATGAGATATGTCAGTGTCAAAATAAATGAACTCGGTAATAAGAAACGTACATTTTCTATATGTCCTATCATTTGTAATTTAATAGGATACATTGTCTAAAAGGGAGAAAAGGATGATTCATGTACAGTGTGTCACGTTACTTACAATGCAAAACGATAAGCAAATCGATGATTCGATAATTGAAAGTACTTCTTAGAAGTATGAAAGAAAAAATTTTAATCAAAGGTATAAATTAATAAACATCACGCTCAACGATAAACATTATACTCATTGAAACAATGAATTCAATTAAATCCTTTCGTTTATTTAATTTTCGTTTATTTAAAACAAAAACAAAAACAACAAAAAAAAAAGAACCAACAGAAAAAAGAAAAACCAAGCCCTGTATGAATACCAATTAATCGTACCTTTGTTATCATTAATTCGATAATCATTCGACATGATCAAAACACAAAAGTTCACACCCTCTTGTTCCAATAAGGTAGAAGAGATGTTCATTAAGAAATTAGGCCACGATAGGTAGGCCGATATCTAAGGCGTGAGTGCCTATCGTGATAGTTCGTGTAGATGTGGAAGAATATAAGGGGGAGGATAGTTATAGAGAGGGTTGTAATCGTTTGATAGTGTTGGTTTAATGTACACGTAGCCTACGATCCATGATCATATAACCACAATATGGCCTGGACCTCACTCCCTCTCTCTTCCTCTCTCTCTCTCTCTCTCTCTCTCTCTCTCTCTCTCTCTCTCTCCTAATAGGAACGATATTTATACGAGAATAATACAAGATAAGTGTGTGTAAGAGCGCGATCGCATGAAATCTCTCATGAGCCGTGTGATCGTGTGCACGCATAGAAACGGCAATATGGCTGGAGATTCGCGTGCGCAGGTGAGCGTATCGAGTCGTGTGGGTGCACATATATGTAGGTGCAATGGTTCGAGTATTGCACATGTAGGTGCATTATAACGGTGAGACCCCGCGATGACCCGACAGGATCGATGCCCCCAATACGTTTTCCCGCCAACCAGCAACCTGCTGCTGGCTGACTGGCTGGTTTGCTGCCGCTAGTAGCTATTGTCGTTCTCGGTTACTATTATACTTCTTACACCTTAGTTACTTACACCTACATGTATGTATATATTCATAAAAGCTTATATCGCTATTAGTGTCATTCTCCATTGTCGTCATCATCGTCATCTTCCTTCTGTTAACGATACCAAACCAACCACTCCCATTCTCTTTTTCTCTCTCTCTCTCTCTCTTTCTTTCTCTCTCTCTCTCTCTCTCTCTTTCTCTCTTTGCCTTTATTGATAGGTTTATACTTATAATCGTTAGCTTGATAATATATTCAATGTATATTTAAATGTATGTATATTTAAGTTCGCTCCAGATTAAATATAGTTTATGGATTATAAAGGATATAATATTAATCAAGATAAATAAAATTTTTTAGATTTTAAACAATTAATATTAAATATAAATGTAATTATATCGAACGATTTATTAATGTTAATAATGTTAAATAAAATTTTTCTTATTAACTTTCTAAGATGTATATATGTATGTATGTATGTACTTACATATAAGTATCGTAACTTGATCCATTCGAGGGTAAAGAAACGAGGGAGAGATATAATGGTAAGACTAGTATTATACCTAGGTACCCTCATGTTCGGTCGATATTGGCCAGGGGTGAGCGGCCTGTCGTTACACCGTATCTGCCTCTTCCTAGTCGAACTTAGGCATTATATATGGATGTATATATGTATGTATGTATATATGTATGTATGTATATATCTTATGCTCGAGAAACGTGAACAAGAAGTTTATTCTTTTCGAAACTTCCCCTCTATGATACGATTAATCGAACTAAAGGGACGAAAGAGATAATGTTTCTTTGGCTTCCACGTGATCAGAAATGCATATCTATCTATCCATCCTATATTTTTCTTATTCCTTATCCCTTGCACGTGTTTGTGAATAAAAGAAAGAAAAAAGAAAAAAAAAGAAGAAAAAAAAAAGAAAAAGAAAAGAAAAGAGTATCTTCCTTTTATCTACACATATGGGGCTTCTTCTTAACCAGATTTTTTTTTTCTTTTCTTTTCTTTTCTTTTTTCTTCTTCTTCTTCTTCTTCTTCTTCTTTACCAATGACGTACTATATCATAACATATCTTTTGAACGACTTCAAGTACGTCGTCTAGACTGAATGGATTAGTTTTTTTTTTCGAGTTAAACGACAACGTGTTGCTTATATGCATATATATATATATATCTATATATATATATATATGGATATAAGCCTAAAACATAATATTTTGAATAATTTATAAAGGAAATAAATGAATAATTAATTTATTTTCTTTATTTTATTAAATAAATTATTGAAGTTTTTCAGATATAATTTCAGTAACATTAAATTGTCGATTGAATCTATATTGAATTTTGACGTGAGAACTCTGTAATAATATTTGAAGAAGATTGATTCGAGATAAAAGAAGTTTTACTTTGAGGTAAAATTTTGTACGATGAAATTGTCGATTGATCTATTTTAAGGTAAGATATATTTTCTTGGCGATAGTAGTCTCTGTAATAATAGTTGAACAAATATGATTCGAAATAATATTGGTTCCTATTGTTAAATGGAATTCTACCAAAACTGGAATGCCTGTTGAAAAAAAAAAAAGATATATAGAAGGCATAGCCTTCAAAGATAATAGAAGATCTGGAATCTCTATCTTCGAAATACATTGACTTCGATATCCGTTTACACAGGAAAAGCTTTCTAATCGAAAACGTAGGAATCTGAGAAGATACTGGATGATGCAATAACTTTGATCATTTTTGTATATCTCCTGTTCCGTTTAGAGATAAGAAGAGAAAGTATTATTTTACTCTTATCTAACACTTGTTTTGCGTATTTGAATCAAGTCTCTATGACTTTTAGTTCCGGAAATATTTCTATGTAAATGAAAGATGTGGCAACGTAAAAATAAAAAAAAAAAGGTTTCTTCGATAAAAAAAAAGGAGATTTGTTTATAATTTGTTTATAAATTATTTATTAATTTTATAAATCAATCTGAATCTAAATTTTTTTCTTTGATAAAATTAGATGAATTTAGTTCGTAAGAATTTTTTTATAACAAATTGTTTATAACAAATTGTTAATTAATTATTAACAATATATTAGAAAAATAGGATATATTTTGCCCTTTAAAATGATATTCGTTTCAAGTTTCTACGATTTTTAGATCCGAAGATATTCTCATGTAAATGAAAAACGTGGCTATTAACAATATAAACAAAAAATTGTTTATTTCGATAAACAAAATAGTTTGTTTATAAATTACTTATTAATTTTATAAATCAATCTGAATCTAAATTTTTTTCTTTGATAAAATTAGATGAATTTAGTTCGTAAGAATTTTTTTATATCAAATTGTTTATAACAAATTGTTAATTAATTATTAACAATATTCTAGAAAAATAGGATATATTTTGCCCTTTAAAATGATATTCGTTTCAAGTTTCTACGATTTTTAGATCCGAAGATATTCTCATGTAAATGAAAAACGTGGCTATTAACAATATAAACAAAAAATTGTTTATTTCGATAAACAAAATAGTTTGTTTATAAATTACTTATTAATTTTATAAATCAATCTGAATCTAAATTTTTTTCTTTGATAAAATTAGATGAATTTAGTTCGTAAGAATTTTTTATAACAAATTGTTTATAACAAATTGTTAATTAATTATTAACAATATTCTAGAAAAATAGGGTATATTTTGCCCTTTAAAATGATGTTTGAATCATGTTTCTAGGACTTCTAGTTCCAAAGATATTCCTATATAAATAGAAACGTTTACACTGACCCACTGACCTACATAATTTCATTCAAATTAGCTTGTGACACACTGACCTACATAAATTCCGAGAATTTACGCATCTCAGCTGACCAAATTACTACTACTACTACTATTACTACGAACAGATGATCTATATGAATGATGAATGAAAATCTTTCGAAGGCGATATCTCCGGAACGAAAAGTCGTAGAGACTTGATTCAACCACCGTTTTAAAGTATAATTTATTCTTTATTTATTGAAATATTACAACAATATCGATATAATAAAATCGATTTTGTTAATAATTTTTAAAATTGACTTTTCTCTTTTCTTTCGTAATAAAAACAAAACCATGATGAAATCATTCAAATTCTTATTATAATTATATAAATTTTATTTTATTTATTTAAACAAAAAAAAAGGAAAAGAAGATTTATTAATAATCTATATACATATAAATAAATAAATATACGAAATTGAAAGATCAAAAATTCGAAAGACTTCTTTTGTAATAAGGACATAATTGTGATGGAAATAGTTAAAATTTTTATTGCAATGACATAAATTTTATTTTGTTTATTTAAAATAAAGGATAAAAGACTTATTGATAGTCAATAATCTATGAAATTGAATAATTGAAAACTACAAAGATCATTCTTTCGTAATAAAGATTCTACGCTTATTCTGCATTTATCCTAAAGTTATCTTAAACAATTATTATACGTAAAGTGAGCTAATATAAAAAATCATAACTTTATTATTATTACTATTAATTTATTACTATTGTCTAATATATTTATTATCATTCCTAATATTTAATATCTCTAATATGATTTCTAAACTAAATATATAAATCAAAATATCTCCTAAATTAATAATTTTTCACGATTTAATGTTTATTTAAATACACGGTTTAATAATTTTTTTTTTTTATAGTGAACATCGAGATGCATGGACTAATGTAATGAAAAACATATGATCGTATGTGAAAAAAAAAAAAAGAAAAAGATATATTTATCCTTCAAGTTCACCTATAAAAGAAAAAAATGGTTACTACCATATTATGGTCTCATCCATATCGTGATCGACTTTTGTAAACAAAGTTTATCCGTATTAAAAAAAAAAAAAAAAAAAAAAAAAAAAAATATGGAAATATTAAAAAAATGATCAAGATTATAAGCCAACCCTGTATACCGACATTCTAGAACAAGCAAAATACGTCATACGAATATATGGGACTGATTA